ACAAAATAGAGTGTGACTGTAAGAACTGAACTTGACTATTTATGGGCGGAAAGAGAAGAAAGCAAGTTGTCACCGCAGCAACAGAGTGGCGTGAACTAGTTTGAGTTAGACCCAAACATTGATAGTGATGTACGTCTTCCCGACACTTCTCTGAAACCATTAACCAAAAAGACTAAACGCGACAACAAAGACGGGTATGCGGACTTTTTGAACGCCATTTGCGAACTTTCAGCTAAACATGACGAGACATTCCAGAAAGTTTCCGCAATTGAAACAACGACCAAGACTACTTCCGAACAAATTGAAAAGCTGTCCTCTACTGTACACCGACAAATGGTAGATGTCAATCAACAAAAAGAAACGCTGAAACATTTGGACGCTGAGCTTCAAAAGATGAGAAAAGAGAATGAGTCACTGAAAGCAGCAATGGCTGAATGCAAGTGCTGCAGTTGGAAGTGGGTATTAAAACTACATGGAGTTAAGGAGGAGGAAAGAGAGGACGCCAGAAACGTAGCAATTGACATTCTTGGAAAAATGGCTCCAGAGCTACGTGAGCACTTGGTGAAGGGGGTGGATGTCGTGCATCGTCTTGGCCCAGGAAGAAAGGATGGAACCCATAGATCCATCATCATTTTGTTTGCAGTCCGCCGCTTGAGAGATGCCATTTGGCCAGACGAAGCAAGTTTCTCCGAGACAACAAACTGAGGCCCTGTCACCAGAGGACAGAGCTGCGAGAGAGAAGCTGTGGCCTCTGGTAAAGAAAGCAAGGGATGAGGGAAGAAAGCCTCCTTCTGTGCCTCATTTGCCAATAGGAAAAAAATGGACTTTTCTAGTGTAAAGTAGACCTGACTTCCCAAAAGAGTCCTGCTGGTGTGATGCACTTATTATATATTGTCTTATCGGTGCTATGTGCATGGGCATTGCCTTAAAACTCAAAAGTTAAGAGTTATTATTATTTCATTTTATGTATTTTTTTCTCTCTCATCAGATGCACTTAATGCACAATTTAGTTATTTTATAATTAGTTAATTATATATGCCCAAAAATGACCCTTACTTTGTTGCATATCTTGGTTTATAATTTTCTTAGTCACAGGGTATAGATAATGTTTTGCTGGTTGTTTACCACTAGCCTTTTAAGCTAGTTAAAGCACACTTGATTCTTGTTGTTCATACTAGTGTAAGTCAGTTACGTTCTTACTTCCTTATATTATGGATGTTCCATTTAACTCATTCTCTGTTTTGTCTTTGAATGTCAGGGGCTTGCGTGATGTGGTAAAGAGGAAAGCCATTTTTTTGTTTTGTAAGAGAAGTGATGCTGATCTGATTATTCTTCAAGAAACTAATTCATGTGATTCAGATCTTAAATTTTAGAAGGTGCAGTGGGGAAATTCCATTTATTGTAGTCATGGTACCAGTCATTGGGCTGGTGTTTTAGTTCTTTTGCATAATGTTAAAGGGGATGTACTGGATGTGGTGTCTTCAAATGATGGAAGATGGATTATTATTTTAGTTAAGCAGGATAATTCCTTCTTTATCATATGCAGTATTTACGGTCATAATTCCCACCCAGCTAACAAAAAGCTTTTTTGCCTAATAACTTCTGAAATCAAGGGATTGCTTTGTAAACATCCTGGTTCCATTATAATTTTAGGTGGGGACTTTAATGAATGCATGGATGACACATTGGATAGATACCCTCCCAAATTAAGTTTAGGTCCACAAAGATATAACCTTATCCTCTCGGTATGTTCTGACCTCTCTCTGACTGATGCATGGCTAAATCTGAATACATTAGAATTTAGCTGGTCTAATAGGAATTTATCTTCAAGATCCAGGATTGACTTTTTCTTAGTTTCCACCTCAGCCATGCATTTTGTTAATGATGTATCTCACTCATTTGCTCCTTTATTAGATCACAAATGTGTTACTTTGAAAATGGGCGGCATTCAAGAGATTCGTAGGATGAGAGGTTATTGGAAGTTTAATAATACTCTTTTGAAGGACGATTGCTTTAATAAAAGTATTTTAGATTTAGTCAGTGAAATCTCTGTTGATACTACAAAAGGTAGCCACAAACAAAAATGGGAATATTTTAAATATAAGATCAGATATATTGCTATTCAGAGAAGCAAAGAGTTGAAAAATTTGAAAACTAAATTAGAATCAGAACTGTTTACTAGGATCAATGTATTGTTGAGTAAAAACAAAATTACTGATGAAGAGGAATTGGAATTAAAAGAAATAAGTCTGTAGATAAATACAATTTATTTGGACCTGGCAAAGGGTGCGTTCATAATATCTAGAGCAAAATGGTTGGAAGAAAGGGAAAAAAAACAAATAATTTTTTTGCTCTTGAAAAAAGAAATACATACATACATACATCATCTAAACCACTTATCCTTCTGGGTCACGGTGGGGTGCTGGAGCCTATCCCAGCTGTCATTGGGCGGAAGGCAGGATACACCCTGGACAGGTCGCCAGTCCATCGCAGGGCAGACAGACAGACATACACAATCACACACTCACTCACACCTAGGGGCAATTTTAGCACGTCCAATCAGCCTGACTGCATGTTTTTGGACTGTGGGAGGAAACCCACGCAGACAACAGGCAAACTCCACACAGAAAGGACCCTGGTCGCCCAGCTGGGAATCGAACCCAGGCCATTCTTGCTGTGAGGCAACAGCGCTACCCACTGCGCCACCGTGCTGCCCCTGAAAAAAGAAATGGCAAGAAGAAATCCTTAACTGCGCTACTATTAATGGTGTTTAATGTACAAATTCTAAATTAATGTCTAATTATGTAACTTCATTTTATACCAATCTTTATGCCTCTAATTTTGATGAGAAAAGGTGTGAAGGTTTTGTTGATAAAATTCGCCATTACATTCCAATTATAGAGGAAACCTTCCAATTATAGAGGAAAGTCTTTTGCGACTCTAGCTTTACTATTGACAAAATTAAATTGGCATTGTTTTCAATGAAAAAAGGAAAATTGGCAGGTATAGATGGTTTGTCTGTAGAATTTTATATACATTTTTGGGAAATTATTGAACATCTTCTGTTTAATATGTATAAGGAATGTATCGACCAGGGAGAGATGACAACAACTATGAAACAGGGAATTATTTCCCTTATTCGCAAACCCGATAAGGATACCTTCTTATTAGACAATTGGCGGCCTATTACACTTTTGACCATAGACTACAAAATTCCATCTATGGCTTATGCTTACAGATTAAAGTCCGGTCTTAACAGCATAGTATCAGAAACACAGTCTGGTTTTGTAAAGGGTTGGCATATTAGCAACAACATAAGACTAATTTTAGACTTAGTAGATTATGCAAATTCAGTACACTCTAAAGCTCTTATTCTCTTTTTGGACTTTTATAAAGCGTTTGATATTATTGATCATAACTTTCTTTCAAAGTCCCTCCAATTATTTGGATTTGGTGATAGATTTATTGATATTATTAGTATGTTTTATAAAGTAATTAATAGCTCTGTAATTGTTAATTTTAATACTTCTCAAAGATTTGACATAAATCGTGGGTTAAGACAAGACTGCCCCATTTCGCCCTGTTTGTTCATTTTAGTTACTGAATTGTTATCATTAAGCATTGTACATGAAAATAGTCTTGAAGGAATTTCCGTTTTTGGTCGTGAAATTAAAATTTCTCAATTAGCAGATGACACTACCTTGTTTTTAAAAGATAGTGGTCAGCTGTCAAATGCCATAAATTTAGTTGAGTTTTTTTCTCAAGCTTCAGGTTTATCTCTTATGATCAATTCATGGCTACACATGACTTCCCAGTCCCCTTTAAAGAATATAATGCCTTGCTTAGAGCTATTCCTGATGGCCTCATTCATCTTGTAAAAAGTTATTTAAGTTTTAGTAATAATGAAATTATGCTACCCTCATTGCTTTTGGGTATAAATATACTTGAAAAAATGTGATAATAAATATATTCGATATATACTTCAACAAAGAAACAAAATTTCCCCTAGGGGTAAGTTCTATTGGATGCCCTTTATTGAGGATATTAATTGGAAAAGGGCGTGGCTTTTGCCTCATAAATACTGTATGTCCAATAAGATCAAAGAAGTTCACTTTAAAATTTTACATAAAATATACCCTGTGAATTCTGTTATCGTACCAAAGTACGATGACACGTCATCCGCACATATAGCAGAGTTGAACAAGAGGGGCACTGCAGAGCCGGAACGAACCACAATAAAAAAATTTTTTATGGTTTAGAAATGTGTTCACGTTTCAAGGCTGGTGTATATTATTACAGAGCAGTGCATTTCAGCTATTAATGAAAAAATGGTCTTAGGGTGTAGTTACTCTTTAAGGCCAATTCCTGTTTCCCCCATTATATCAAAAACATGACTGCAAAACCCCTTCAATGAATAGGGATGAAACAGCTAAAAACTAAAAGTTAAATTAGTTTCTAACCCCCTGTCCAGAACCTTCCTTTAATTTTAGAAAGTATAAGGGTATATACAGTATGCTAGCATTACTCTGAGTGCTGACTGGATAGCAGGCTATCAAGCACAATACTACTGCACAGAATGAAATACAGATAACAGCATCACATTCATTCTTTTTCTCCCACTCCATTATTAAATCTAGCATTTTTTCTCTCCTTTTCTACTTAAAAGCAGCAAAAAGTAAACAAAATGTAAGATAAGTTTCAAGACAAATTATATATAATATATGCATGGGGCGGGCGGCACGGTGGCGCAGTGGGTAGCAGTCAGGCTGATTGGACATGCTAAATTGCCCCTAGGTGTGAGTGTGTGAATGTGTATGTCTGTTTGTCTGCCCTGCGATGGACTGGCGACCTGTCCAGGGTGTATCCTGCCTTCCGCCCAATGACAGCTGGGATAGGCTCCAGCACCCCACCGTGACCCAGAAGGATATGCGGTTTAGATGATGGATGGATGGATATGCATGGGGCTCTAAGAGGCTTAACAGTTACTTCAGACAAATGCACCGAGTTTCATATTTATTTATTATTATTAAGTAATATAATATTCAACAGTTAGAAATCATATCATAGAAAGGAAACACTAAAGTCTAAGGAAAGGAAGGAGGAAGGTGTGTGGGGGGGTACACTGTACACCATAGTACATTCTCAACCAACCACACATACACACACACACACACACACACACACACACACACCCCAAGCTCACTGACTACCCAACTCACTTTGGAAGACCCCCAAGCCACATATTATTTGAGGTCAGCTCCACCAGAACAAGGATTATTACTTAATTCTGAACAGGGAAAAATGAAGAAATCTTTGGACTCACTGTGCTTTTTCTGCAAGCAATATTGAATACACTTCAGAAATGACATACTTGGGGCCACCTGGCAACCCTGTGGAGCTAAACCACCTATAGCAGGAAACGGCATTGGCAGGATCACTGCTAATATAAGGCTACGTTCACATTACAAGCCTCACTGCTCAATTCCACTCCTAACTTGATGGTTCATTGGTGTAGGTATCAAATCTGTCACTGATGTGAACAAACCTGTGTGCTTAAACAGCCCGCATGAGCAAATCCTAATGAACAACATTGGGCAAATGAACCACATGCATTATGAACAACAAACAAACCAGCAGAAGCAAAGATGATTTATTCTGACCAGTTTTTAGCTGTTTATTAATAGAGCAGGTTGAAGATGAAAAATGGTCAGGTGCTTTGATTTCACACTTTACTGACTAACTTCAGGTTAGGCACTGCTGCCACATTAACACTGAAAGATGGTATATGCGCAGTGAAAAAACAACATGATATAACAAATTCCAATAATGCTGAAAAAATCTGATCTGCCATATTAAGCCAAAAAATCGGATTTGTGCCATTTCAGCCTGGTAACGTGACTAGCCTAAATGCTCATTTCTGGGTTCAGTTACATCACAATAATGTCCTGCAGTACATAAGCCTGTACATGGAAAAATCCATCGATCTGAAAGTGGTGATTTAATTGCAAATACACAGAAATGTTAGTATCAGTTATAATGCTTATAATAATTGAATGCAGTATGTTTTTGCCAGAATAAGGTTTTTGAGCTTTGAGTTGTAAAAAGATAGGTGTATTGTTTTTACTGTTTATATTTCTCACAATCACAACTCCTGTTGAAATGTGAAATGTCATGATGCATAAAGTGTTTCCTAAAGAATCGTAAACAAATTAAATCGTTGTGAGGTTAGAGATTTACAGCCCTTCTGACCATTTAATACCAAACCATTAACTCACTCACTCTCTCACACACACAAACACGCACACAGTGCATAACCCCCAACACACCTTCTCCAGGTGAATGCGTCTGTTAGCAAAAGTAGAAATTTAACATTATTAATAAGAACTCTTCATTCACTGTTAAGATTACATGCTAAATAATTATATCCACAACATCTTAATTACATCTTTCTGTCTCATTGCTTATAACTGCGATTAAAAACTCCAGCTTCTACATTCCAAAAGCACCCTCATAGCTATCTCACAAACCCACACACACGCAATCTATCCTTCTCTCTTTCTCCCCAATAAAGGAAAGAGTGTACAAGCCTACAGAGAACAAAAGAGGATGAAGCACTTCAATACCAAGGGATGGGACACACACACACACACACACACACACACACACACACACACACACAGAAACCAACTCAAACCCATTTTGTATGATTACTCTGATTCAAACATTCAGCAACTCCTAATGCCTGAATACAAGCATCACAGGAATCTGTGATAGCCAAGAGCAACAATAATAATAATAATAATAATAATAATAATAATAATGTAAGTGGGCTCAGAGACTTCAGTTGTTTTTCTTGTCTGGCTGATTCTGAGGAGGATAGTAAGGAGGAGGCTGATCCTGAGGGCAAGAGAGAGAAAGAGAAAGAGAGAGAGAGAGATTTAGAATACATACTTATTGAGGTCTACATTGTGGCTGTAGTTTGTTATTAGGGCTGCAACAATTAGTCAACAGTCAATTAGTTGGTAACTGTCAACTGTGAAAAATTAGGGCTGGGCAATATGGTAATAATATAAAAACTATGTTAAACCAAATCCAGTTAATTACATTCTCTCTGAAAAAGTGTTTTGACGATATCCATGATATAGTCAAAAAAGCTTGTTGTGATGTACCGTAATTATTCACAATACTGTTTATTTGATAATTACATGGTCATTCATATAGTCATTTAAACAGATTGTTATACACTACAGGAAGAGTAGGGGACAAAAACGCTCCTCACATAAGGGATGAATCTCAAATGGCTCCGGACTTCGTATATACTGCACTGCGTAGGTCATGAAATTACAACTTTTACATCCAAATGCATTAAATGTACAAACGCGGTACACTTAGGATTCTACCATAGACTGCATGTCTCACTGTTGAACATTTAGTGCATTATTTGACAGAAAAAGCCATACTTTTCAAATAGTACATTCTTTTTGTAATAAAATCTAACACAAAATCACTGAGTTCAATTTTATTACAGAAATAGTGCACTATATAGGGAGTCAGTCATGTTGTAGTGTTGGTGAATTCACAATAATAAATATTTTGGTCCAGCCAGTTCACTATATAGCAAATACCATGTGGTGAACAGTAAAAGAGTTAATGATTGAACCCTTATGAACACAGCAACATAAATAATTTTTAACGATGGCAGCGCAAAGGGAGAGGAACTGAAGAAGGGAGAGTACTTTAACTGAATGATTAGCATAACAGAAACGAATAGCAGTTGATTAATCAAATCAGAGAAAAAATACTCAGTTGCAGCCCTAATACGTGTGTATTGTGTGTATATACCATTGGCATGTAGACATTGTGGGGGTTGGTGGGGTTGTAGTAGGCGCTACCAGCCGCTTCTTGTGCTTTAGCATTACCTGGAGCGACTAAGAGAGAGACAGTGAAAGAGAGAGACACACACATTATTTGTAAGAGGTAAACAATACAAAAATGCCTGTGTATGTATTTGTGTGTGTGGCTGTGTGTGTGTACAGTGATGTACAGTGTGTTTGTGTGTGTATGTGTGAGAGATACCTGGCGCATTCCAGTTCTGGGGGGGGCCAGGGTAAGGAGGAGGTGGAGCCATATAGGGCGGGGCAGTGGGGTTCATTCCTACACATATGCACAAACACACACGCACACACACTATATCAATTACACAAAAACATACTTTTGCAAACTTATAAACACACCTACAGAAGTGACATTGCCTGTTAGTTAATAAGAGAACTTTAATTTTAACTGGATTTTCCCATGCTTTTAGTTATAGTAGCAGCAACATTTAGCTAAATCCTTTCTGCTGCAGCATGAGGAATCCCTGAATTTCACACAAGCATGGACAGTAAAAATAAAGCAAAAACAAAACACAAGTATTAGTTAAATGGTATTTAACATTTAACTTAATGATTTGTAATGATTTCACTAGCTTAATCAAAATATTCCTTTTTGCTTTGGTTCGATGACTGCTTTGGTTTGTTAGCCTCATTATTAACACCCACACTGTGCTGTGTTGTGTTGTACCTGATGCAGTAGCTGGGTAAGCGTGTGGGCTGTAAGTGGGCTGTGCAGTGTACCTGGTGCAGTAGCTAAGTAAATGAATAGGTTGTAAGCCTGCTATGCTGTGTACCTGGTAGAGTAGCTGGGTACGCTTATGGGTTAAAAGTGGTCTGTGCTATACCTGGTGTAGTAGCTGGGTAAGTGATATGGGTTGTAAGTGGTCTGTGCTGTACCTGGTGCAGCAGCTGGGTAAGCGAGTGGGCTGTGATGTACCTTGTACAGTAGCTGAGTAAGAGTATGGGCTGCAAGTAGGCTGTGCTGTACCTGGTGCAGTAGCTGGGTAAACTTATGGGTTGTAAATAGGCTGTGTTGTTTCTGGTGCAGTAGCTGGGTAAGCGCATGGATTGTAAGCAGGCTGTGCTGTTCCTGGTGCAGTAGCTGGGTAAGCGTATGAGTTGTAAATGGGTTGTGTTGTTCCTGGTGCAGTAGCTGGGTAAGCGTATGGATTATAAGCAGGCTGTGTGGTTCCTGGTGGAGTAGCTGGGTAGGAGTATGGTTTGTAAGCAGGCTGTGCTGTGCACCTGGTGCAGTAGCTGGGCAAGCGTATGGGTTATAGGTGGGCTGTGGTGTTTTCCTGGTGCAGTAGCTGGGCAAGTGTATGGGGTGTAAGTGGGCTGTGGTGTGTACCTGGTGCAGTAGCTGGGTAAGCGTATGGGTTGTAGGCAGGCTGTGGTGCATATGAGTATGGTTGGGGTGTGTATGGATACGGCTGTGGCATGGCTGGACTGGCATAACCATTCATAAATCCAGCAGGACCATATGCTCCCACACCGGCCTGTGATGGAGCCCGCGATGCTGAAAAACACACACACACACACACACACACACACACACACACACACACACACACACACATAGTGTGCAATAGCCCAAAATAAACAAGCCTAAATTTGTTTAGAACATATATGCCTTCATATATAAGTAGCCCCTTTATATGGTTATATTTCAATGATGTTCATTATATCCTTTGAGCATAAAGTGTGTAACAGAATTATATGTTTTAGGCTTACAATATGTATGTTCTACATTAAATAAATTTTGTCTAATTTTAACTTGAATTTATAGTAAATATTGACTGCTGATCAAAACTAACAGTTTGAATCAGTTATCCAGAATGACAACTAATTAGATAATTTTAACATGGGTTCATTTTGGATCGGGCCAACCAGCAAAACAAAATGTTTCAAGCAGTATGATGTAATGAAGCTTTATTTACTAAAATCACATGATTTATCCATTTTGACCCACACCTTGAAGGACTGTTTGAAATTGTAGTGTCACAAAAGTTTCAAAATGTTTCAAATTGCAGTGCTCATTATCTCCTGAATACAGATCCACAGAACTACATACTTACACAGATCAATATATACACTCTCTCTCTCACACACACTCCTTACCATTGGAGGCCAGTTTAAAGAGGTGCTGGCCCAGCTCTATAGCACCCCCACTGTGGAAAGACAGTTTAAAGTTGGCCTGGCCTTCCCAACCACCTGAAAGGAAAACCACATGTGTGAGGTATGTGTGCACTGTTTATCTGGGGATGTGATGGCATCAGTATGCACTGTGGGAAGAAGGCATACTGGGTACGCCCATTCATGGCAAAGGTATTCACCATTGGCAGTGGCCTCTTATAGCAGGATAATGCACCCTGCCACACTGCACACCTTCTTCTGGAATGGTTTGAGAAACATGAAGAGTTCAGTGTGCTGCCTCCAAATGCCCCAGATCTGAATCTGATCTAGCATCTTTGAGATGAGCTGGAACAAGTCTCATCCGTGTTGGCTCCACCTTACTTGGTGGAGCTTGCAACTTATGTCGGCCTTACACCAAACGACTTTTCAAGCGATTTCACTGTCGCAGACAAATATCCATGTCGGAATAAAATCACGAGAGTCTTGTTAGAATCGCGTCGTGCTCGCGTCATCTCGATCGTTTGGTATAAGGTGGTCAAAATGGCGGTCTTAAGTCAGTCTTTTTCTCGTCTTGATGCTGCGACAAAATCAACCGTGTAATATTATCGTAAGTTTTTAAGTCTTGGCTCATGCAAATAGTGACGTACCAGGGGCGCGCGCAGTTGTGTGGCGCGCTAGAGAGAGAGAGAGAGAGAGAGAGAGAGAGAGAGAGAGAGAGAGAGAGAGAGAGAGAGAGAGAGAGAGAGAGAGAGAGAGAGAGAGAGAGAGAGAGAGAGAGAGAGAGAGAGAGAGAGAATGCAGGCATGACTGCCTGAAATCTCTGTAAAAAAACGGCAATTCAAAACAATAATCATAACTTAAAATGTAAACTGACTGTTTTAATATTTCAGGTTCACTAAGCCTGTAACACGTAAAGAAATGTGCAAATGTGTGTTTTCTGTTACACTCGTTTCTAATTTTGTTTGTTTGTTTCTTATGGTTTAGTTCATGACACCCAGTCGTTCATGACACCCAGTCGACAATGCTGAATCGCTGCATGTTGTGTTGATGAGTAAATCTTTATATCAAATTTAAAAAGTAGCAGCACATTTTTCAGGTTAATTAAAAAGATTCTGGGTGATGATCTGTCGGAGTATACAGTTCTACAGTGAACTGGGCTGAGCCTCAGATCTTTGCACACCCAGCCAACATATCTTCCCATCTGTATCACTATAGAGTGGAAGGAAAAGTATTTATCTGCTTGTAAATTTCCACCAGGTGCATGATGGGGAATAATCTCAAATCTAGTTGCAGTCTTGTAAATAGTGACACTACAAGATTACTAATCTTTGCAAAATCATAGTCTGTGACTAAAAAACGCGACACAGTCTTTAGATGTGAGAGGTGTCAGACTTTAGTCTTTCAAAAGTCCTTTCAAAGTCTTCTGGTGTATGGTTAGCATTACAGGACTTAAATGATCTGACCGTAATGTCTTGGTGCTAGATATCACAGGGTACCTTGAGAGATCTCGTAAAGTCCATGTATCTGCGCGACGCAGCGGAGGACTAATAGGACATTAGACAGGTACCTAAAATGTTTTTGCTAATCAGTTTATATTTACATGCACATACTTACCGCCAGGCTCTGCTTTGATGGTGCCTTGGATGTAATTTGCGGCAAATACAGGCTGCTCAATGCTGCAGTTTTTCATGAGATAATATGGGAACATGAAGGAACAGAATTTATCCTTCAGATTACTGCTCACAAACACCATCTGAAAAAGAAAAAAGAAAAAACATACAAATGGTTTAGACAACAAAAACAACTTGACCTGGGGGTTATTTCAAAAAGCAGGATTTCTCAGTTAGCCAGATAACTTAAGCTCAAAGATGAGGACTGTCCTATTGGGCTTAAGTTATCTGGCTAAACTGAGAAAACCTGCTTTGTGAAACATCCCCCTGAAGCTCAAAAACACTGATACGGCATTGTAGTGGCTGCAGTGTGGGCAGAACTCCAGATAGTGTATTAAGTGTAAAGTGCGTGTGATTATACTCTATGGAGAGTGTTAACTATAGTGTTTTTGGTTAAAGAGGAAATTCACTGATTTTTAAAAAAATTCTACAATTGCTGACCTACAAACAAAGTTAATTAGAGTGGCTTGATGTGAAATTTTTATTGTAGAGAAACTGATTTCTTTACAGTGGTGGTGATAGGAACAAGTTGTCACAATGTCTACATCAAATAAAGCCATTTCATGTGCTATGAAAAATGATTAGTAAATCTACATGTCTTTTCAGAGTTTTTGTATTTAATGTTCAGGGTAAAAGAGTGAGAAAATCTAAAAATGCATTTTATTTTGTTATTATTTTGCCTTACAGCACCCAGTATGAACCTATCTGCCATGAATGACATGAATAAAAATATACTTTGGGCAAAAACTTTCTCAAAACTTTAATGAAACAATGTCTGAGTCATTAGGCAGCGTATCCCTTACTATTCCATGTAATACCTTTCTCTGATGTAGCTTTTAGACGCATTAACCTCCTCAGAGCTCTGGTTCCTATCACCACCACTGTGAACAATTCTCACTCAAAGTTTCTCTAGAACAGAGCTTCAAACCACTCTGAATGAGTTTGCCTACATCTTCACCTTTCAGTTTTTTTTAGTTGCTTTAACACATTTGTCTATTCAGAAGTCGTATTTTCAAAACTGTTAACATGATACTAAACGGAGGCCTGCTTGCTGACCAAAATAGAATCTTTTCTTCACCAAGATCAATCCTCTATAAAACACTAAACCAAACACTAGACCAAAGAAACACAAAATACAGGTTTCAGCCTTCGTTAGCACTGTATATCAGTGCTGTACTTTCTGTTAATGCTTTTCTGTAACACACATTTACAATGCACCAAAATATAAGAATCCCACAATGTGAAACCTATCCCTGTCTCCTGGGTAGTTTCAGTGCAATGTGAGAAAAAGATTTCATCCTAAATACTCAGAAAAAGTATATTTACTCCCTTTTTCTCATTTTCTATAGTTTTGAAACAAAGGTGAGAGTGGTGGAGGGCAATATTGTCCAAAATGATACTAAACCCTACGTCTAAGTATACATTAGTCAAAGGTTAGACTGCATCAGAGGGACCCAAAGAAGGTCTTATGTACATACCTTAGTGAGGAGAAATTTTCATTACAAAACAATTCAGACAAAACAAAACAATTATAGACCAGATCATCAAACATGGCTTGTCCATAACAGAAGGTGAAAGAATGATCCAACTCATGGACATACTGCTGCATTAACAGTGATTTTTTTAAAAAAAGAAAAAAACTTCAGTAAGTAATCAGACACTGTATAAATCCTTTACACATCCTTCTACTGACAAACACTGTATCTGGCCTCGTGTTTATTATCCTTTGTGTCAATGTTTCAGTCTGCTATTCTTACCTTTTTCAAGCACTATGAAGAAAAGCAAAAAGCACTACGTGTTCATTTTGTTTTGCACAGTTATCCAATGAATTTTTGTGTTTTTCTGTGAGATTTGTATTAATTGTTCTGTGAAAGAATGTGAAAAAGGACCGAAAGCAATGAGAAGACATTTGCAAAAGAACACATCTGCTTTTTTAAAGTGACAGTGAAGATTAAGTTGACACCTGTTTCATTAAATGTGTTTTAGCAATCAGCAAAAACTGTAATTATACAAAATAAAAAAAACTGAATGGAGTATTTTAGCTGTAGAGGTGTGATTTTCCTGTCTGGCGTGTATTAGCTGTAGTGTGTGTGTATTTGCATTTACCCTGTATGGTGTGAGATACACAGAGCCTTTCTTGGTTCCTTTGAAAACATCACTCTTGTGCGTGGCATCACTGAAGGACAGCTCCACATTCTTACAGTCTCTCAGCACACTGATACACAAAACAAAGATAGAGAGAAAGGATTTAAAGCCACAGTCCAGTCAATAATCTTTTTTTTTTTTTTTTTACAATTTCCCCACAGTCACTGTCCATTCTGTTTCCTATAGAAAGAATGTCAGTTTTTTTCTGTAGGATTCTGTACAGTATCTAAATTCAGTTCAAGTTACATTTTCTAAAGGCAGTATTCAGAATACAGTTTTTACATTCTTTGGAGAATACTTTTAGAATACTTAACACTTTGTAGTTCTACAATTACAGACTGTAGTCCATCTGTTTTCCTGCATACTCCCCTTTTACCCTGTTCTTCAGTGGTCTTCATGGTCACCCCCATGGGCCCTCACAGATCAGGTACTATTTGGGTGGTGGATCATTCTCAGCACTGCAGTAACACTGATGTGGTGGTGGTGTGTTAGTGTGTGTTGTGCATGTATGAGTGGATCAGACACAGCAGTGTTGCTGAAGTTTTTAAACACCTCAATGTCACTGCTGGACTGAGAATAGTCCACCAACCAAAAATATCCAGCCAACAGCATCCTGTGACCACTGATGAAGGACTAGAGAATGACCAACTCAAACTGTGCAGCAGCAGATGAGCTGTCGTCTCTGACTTTACATCTACAAGGTGGACTGACAAGGTAGGAGTGTCTAATAGAGTGTACACTGAGTGGACACAGTGTTTAAAAACTCCAGCAGCACTGCTGTGTCTAATCGACTCGTACAAGCACAACACACACTAACACACCAACACCATGTCAGTGTTACTGCAGTGCTGAGAACGATCCACCACCCAAATAGTACCTGCTCTGTGAGGGTCCATGGGGGTCCTGACCACTGAAGAACAACAAAGTATACAGAGAAACAGATGGACTACAGTCTGTAATTGTAGAACTACAAAGTGCACCTATATAGTAAGTGAAGCTGATAAAATGGACAATGAGCGTAGAAACAAGGAGGTGGTCATAATGTTATGTCTGATCGGTGTACACACACACATACATACATACATACATACACATATACATATATATATATATATATATATATATATATATATATATATATATATATATATATATATACACATATATATATATATATATATATATATATATATATATATATATATATATATATATAAATATAAAGGAGCACCTTCAATGCTTAGTTCTAAACTATTTTAGAATCAGCACACAACATGTAGCAAACATGCTTGTTAGACGAATTGTAAAAAGGACTTCAAACACTTCTTTACAAACACTGAAGCTCCTGCTAAAGCCTGAGTAGACTGACAAACCAATGTGATAAACCAGTTATAAATCTCAGTGTTACTAGGGCTCTTTTAGAGGAATGTGAATGGTGTATTCAATATTCAGCCAACACTACCTTTTCAAAGTATTGTGCCCAACCCTGAGTATCTATAAGCATGTCATGTACTAGGTTTCTGTGATATAGCCTTTAGAAGCATTAACAGCTTCAGATGTCTAGTCTGTAAGTTTCTCTAAAATTGAGTGTTTCACATAAAACCACTCTAAGTGACCTTTTTAAATCTTAACAATTTCATTAAGCAGAAATTTAGAAAAATTAAATAAGATTTAATTTCCTTTTGATTTCACTTACTTCCCCTAGATCATGATCAAGCCCTGTTTTAGATCAGTATGAGACTTTCTCCTGTTTTTGAAATTTAGCTTCTGGAAAACAGCCCCCAGATTTTCTCACTTTGATCAAAACACTGTCTTACAGAAAGCTTAACTGTTTTACAAGTCATCTCACCCTAGTCCCACTGAATAAAAATTATGTAAGAACAGTGTAAGACGTCATCATTTTCTTTTACAGTTCTTCTCTACATCACATATTTTACAGCAGTCTATCAATGTAGAAGGAAAGCTCATATTTTTTTCATTCATCTCCAGAACATCTTACAGTTAAATGCTTATGTTAAGATCTTCTTTTCTCCTAAGGGAGAAGGAACTCAGAAACCAGTGATCCTTCATGAATAGAATATTAAGATCTGCTTTATTTCTTATGAGAAAATCTTAAGAAAGTAATTTTTTCCCTTTGGGTTACACCAATTGTAGTGAACGGGCCAAGATACGTTTAGTGTCTTAAGAGGTCAGAGACAGGACTCAAGGTCAGAATCCCACTAATAAAAGAAAAACACTGACAGTTCAGCTTGTTCATTTTGAAGGGAACAGAATGGATGATTGTCAAAGTTCCAGCCTGTGCAAACAGGTGTTAATGAAATCTATCTGATTACACTTGTTCCTCCAAAGAAAGCAAAAAAGTCCAAAGGAAACATGAGCTTTACGGCAATGAGTGAGAGACTTGGTTACCTGACCTGGACACAGTGCTTATCTGATCAGCTAAACACTGAATAAGAGATAAGGCAGCTTGGTAACAGTTAACAAAGTCAGCTTGGGACAAATCACTCTTGGGCTCTGTTTGGGACTTTAAAGAATACATCAGTGTTTTTAACTTAATTTCTATCTGCTGCATTTGTAATGCACTGTTGATTAACACAGACAATCATTTCAACACATTTCCCTGAAGTTAGAAAAGAGCAGAAACCCCACTGACTCTAAACACACATCATAGAAGCCAATAGGCAGGTGCTTTAAAGGAATAGTCCATCCTATACCCAGTCTATATCTGCTGCATCTGTAGTGTACAGCCAATTACTGTGCCAAAAATGCTTCACTATAAAGCCTGGTGAAGCAGCCTTGTCTTATGCACCAAAGATTTACAAATGTTCATTATGGTAGATATTTTAAGTTCACTGATGTGACCAAGACTCACAATGGGAAAAACATCCTCCATGTTGGTGCAATTAGCAAGCTAGCTAACTCGCTAACCACAAACAGCAACAACACAAAAATGAACAAAATTATATACTCATGAACGTACACTGCTGCCACACATCTAGAGCAAAAAAAAAAACGGACTGCCATGGCTGGCAGCGGTGGGGTGACTTGTGTGCAGCTGTGGTTAGCCAATGAGCTAATACTGCAGTCAGCAAGCTAGCTAACTACAGCTGAACCACAAAAGTCTCCTGACTGACTGTGTATTATGCTATCTCCCTTTCACGTACAGCCATTGTGAAAAATATTCAAAGACTGCATGCTTAAACGCTGTTAAAATTATAGTATTAAATGTAGCATTTTAGTGCTATGTGACAGGCTGGACCTTCAGTGGTCAACAAAGCAAATGCAGCATTGCTATAAGGTGAAGACATGAAATTGCATGTCTAAGTTCACTGAAGCTAAGCTTGCATGCAAAACTTGTTTGCCCCGGGATGTGAAATGGCTCACTGAAATGTAATTTCGCTGGCAAACGCTTGTGTAACTGGGCCTTAAGCCAAAAAAATGTATTAAGTACTTAGCATGATCACGTTTAGTATTCATTTTTAGCATTAGCATTTTATTAGCATTTGCTGTGAAATAAAACAAATAAAAGATCAGAGAACGTGGAAACACATCCACCAAAACACATCATTGGTCTTACGATAATAATGACCTAATAATGAGTGAAATAACACAGCGTCAAGAACACTTACCTGAACTCAAGCTGTCTGACTTCAGTTGGAATTTTTCCTTCATCTGCTGTATAAGCAGCGTTATTTAGCTATTTTAACTGTTCCAGGTGAGGATAAAGTCACCACTGCAACAGAATGTGAACTAGAATAATATTTTGATGTGCTGACTGCTATTTTTTTAATTATCACTTGGTAAAGAGTTCACCAATGTAACTTTAGCTAGCTGGGAAGCTACAATGTTAGCAATTATTAGAATGCATGCTAAAAGCTGGAAGCTGGTTTTGGTTGAACATTTATTTTCTAAGGGAAAAAATATTTGCTTCTACATTTTGCTTGATTCTACACATAATTTTCGGTAACTGTAGATACCTGCGTGAGTCTGTGTGCGAGCAGAAATCATCTTATAGTCTGACAGATACGTTACTATCCTAATAACAGTGTGTTATTATGCTAACAGACCTATCCTCAGGGTTAGCTAAATCTGTCTTCATGCATTCATAACATGGCAAAAGATGCATGTCAGAATTCTGAAGCAAATTATGAAACAACTCCCAAATCCATGAAGAACACAGATTTATTCATTGATTGGAGGGAGGGAATGATAATTGTATAACGCCTCAATTCCGTCAGAAACATCACTACTATCAAAAAAAAAAGTCCTGTACTGTTTAAATACAATAACTTGATTTATGTGCACAATTACTGTACATTCTGCCTATACATGGTACTAGTAGTAATACAAGCACTACTAGTAGAAACACCAATAGTTATTATTGTTATTATTATTATTATTATTAGTAGTAGTAGTAGTAGTAGTAGTAGTAGTAGTAGTAGTAGTGGAAGCAGCAGTAGACTGAAAAACAAGAAACACTATTTGTGTGTCCACTTACTATATAGGTGCACTTTGTAATTCTACAGTTGCAGACTGTAGTCCATCTGTTTCTCTGCATACTTTGTTAGCCTACTTTTACCCTCTTTTCCAGTGGTCCGGACCCCCATGGGCCCTCACAGAGCAGGTACTATTTGGGTGGTGGATCATTCTCAGCACTGCAGTGACACAAAGATGTGGTGGTGGTGGTGTGTTAGTGTGTGTCGCGCTGGTACGAGTGGATCAGACACAGCAGTGCTACTGAAGTTGTTAAACACCTCAGTGTCACTGCTGGACTGAGAATAGTCCACCAACCAAAAATATCCAGCAAACAGAGTCCTGTGGGCAGTGTCCTGTGACCACTGATGAAGGACTAGAGGATGACCAACTCAAACTGTGCAGCAGCAGATGAGCTATCATCTCTGACTTTACATCTACAAGGTGAACTGACAAGGTAGGAGTGTCTAATAGAGTGTACAGTGAGTGGACACAGTGTTTAAAAACTCTAGCAGCACTGCTGTGTCTGATCCACTCGTACCAGCACAACACATACTAACACACCACCACCACTACATCAGTGTTACTGCAGTGCTGAGAACGATCCACCACCCAAATAGTACCTGCTCTGTGAGGGTCCATGGGGGTCCTGACCACTGAAGAACAACAAAGTATACAGAGAAACAGATGGACTACAGTCTGTAATTGTAGAACTACAAAGTACACGTGTATAGTAAGTGAAGCTGATAAAATGGACAATGAGCGTAGAAACAAGGAGGTGGTCATAATGTTATGTCTGATCGGTGTACACACACACATACATACATACATACACACACATATATATATATAGCTCCTGTACCATAGATACTTGCGTGACAAATGTCATGCAGCAAATGGCAGTCCAGCAAAACAAGGCTTGCCTAGTCTTGTTACCATTAGATTGTGCAATATGTAGTGTAAAAGACATTATTTCATACTAAATGTGAGTGCACCATTTAGAGTTTGTTTACACTTTCAATTAACATGTGTTTCATGTCTGGATCATATTTTTATTCCTTTAACCCATTTTTTTATTAACATTCAACACCAGTGTGACCAGATAAGATCCAGTTCTACCTCTCTGTATAATAAGCACATCAACAAGTGCTGTTTCTGTTGTACTTTCACCAGTCTACTGTGATCATCGTTTCTAATCTGTATGAATTCACATACAAACAAAAATACACCACAACGGACGGAAGGCAGATGGCAAAACTCCGATTTCTAAAATCCTTGATTGCTCAGCTAGCAGATCACTTCCACTAAACCAGTGTTTCACAAAGCTGGAGTCTGGACATTTCAGCATTTTCCCCTTTTAACTCATCATGATGTTTAAAACAGTACTGCTGGAACAGAAATACTGAAATGTTTAGGACACAAGAATTTATATACAATCTGGATTGCAAAGCCCTTCAGGGGAATTTCCACTGATATTTCAACATTTCTAAATAATTAAATCGTTGAAATGTTGAAATAGGAGTGTTTTGATCTTAAACGTGTCATTGCAGAGAAACTTACTGACTCACTGATGTTGAAAGCAACAGTGGTTGCGATGTCTAGAACGCAAACACAGCCACTTTATTTACTAACCAAAACAATCAGTGAGCCTACACCTGTCTCTTCTGAGTAAGTAATGTTGAGGATGGTGATTTAGTGGTAAATCTGAAAAAAAGTAGTTTTTATGGACTATTTTGCCAACACCATATATGAACATTTCTGACATGAATATATCTTTAACAATTATACATGTGTTAAGCCAAAACTATTGTAAAAAAAATGCCTGTAAAAAAGAAATACTCCTGATAAGGTAATTAAGGTATTCAGAAGCGTCAGGTGAGGCCTTGAACTGAAGTTTAATCCTGTAGGAGGACAGCTGTACAGAAGCTGCTCTAAATCAGGCCAAATAGAACACCTGTCTGCCCAGAACTAAGAGCTATATTTGTGCAGACGTCTGTGGGTACCGAGTAAGAAATCACAACACGTGCTTTGTAACTAGCTAGAGAACTAGTAGAGGTTTTGGCCCATCATGTTATGTATTTTACTCGTTTAAGCAACTTCTGTAGCGTTCGTATTTACTAACATAATGCAGGAAACGAGCCTGTTTGCCTGTTTTCCAAACTCTTATTCTTACATACAAAATATATCTATTTAATCTAATTATTATGACAGCCATTATGCTAGCAAGACAGGGAAATAAAATAAACAGTTCCGTACATATTTATAAAAAACGACAAACTGCGTCAATTTAAATTCCAAAGAGGGAAACTGTAAATACGGTCAACATGTAGGTTAATGCTAGCTGGCATTAGCTTAGCGTCAGCTAACAGCAGGTTAACTTACATAAGCTGCGTTTGTCATCACATAAGAAGGTTAGCTCGGCTAAAACGCCTAAAATATACATAATATTTGTCTCACCTCTCGCTGTTATCAATGAGGACCCCTCCCTGCTGAGAATGATTGCGGTTCAGTGCCATATTTCTGATGTTTGTGAGGATTTGTTGAGCTCTTTCTGTTTCTGATGATGCGGTAGGGTGGCTAACGCTAATAGTTGAATACTTCCGCACTCGTGACTGATCAAAACAAAACGTCAGCGTCTAACGGGAAGAAAAAAACCCGTTTACCCTCACCGGACACTGGAAAGATTTATCCAAACATTTCTCTGATAAATTTGGATACAGTGTGGATATAAAACTCAAAGATGTGTTTATTGGTTTTAATTGTAGTTTCTCGTATGTACATTTTATTTTGAATCCGATGATCCCTTTCGAGAAATACCACTTACACAAGACAAAATCTACTATTAGGTATATGAAGGATTTAAGTTTGCTGGACTGGTGTTGCCATTGCTTAGTGCTGGGTTGGGTTGGCTTTGTGAATACAGGCCGTTTTTCAGAAGCTGCTTCAACTTCTTTTAGTTTCCTCTCCCCTCCTATTGCTCCTCGGCTATTAATTACAATTAGCTTAAAACTTATAACCATGCCATTTGTAACTCTTGATTCAAGTAAATAAAATAATCACAAATAATGAAACAAAAAATAAAGATCAAATAAACAAAACTTTTAATGAAACAAATTTGTTTTAAGAATTATGCTTTAAGATAAAACAAGGACAAGCCAACAACATCTCATTATACCACACAAACTTGTGTGCTGTGAGCTGGAATGGACCTAAACAATGAACCAGTTATCCTCTGTGATGAGTGGAAAGTCTGTTATCTGCAGCTGGAGCTCCTGACCAAATCTCTTACCCTTAAAGCAATAGTTCAGTGAACAATCACTGAACTTGCTTCAAATGTAGTCTACCATCAAGGACATGTTTGGTGTCTTAAGTCTTAAGTCTCGCACTGGAGCTACAAGGCTAATGTAGCTAACAAATGCTGGAAGATTATCCACCATGAAAACAAGTCTGTTTGAGATTACTTAACAACTTGACATGGTGTGAGGCAAGGTAGCACAGTCCCAAGTGGTGGGGTACAACTTACGTATTAGCTACATTAGCCTTTGGTTTAGAATCAAAGAAGTAAACGTGGTTCATTCAACATTCTGTGGGTAAGCATCATAACAATTCCATCACATTAGAACCCATGCCAAATCCACATATTACCTGGATAACCCACAACACAGTGGTGACCAAAGATCTTTTGTGACATTTATTCAAAACAAAAACAGCACATGAGGCATGTCAGACTGCAGTTCTGGAAGGTATTTACTCTCAGTTATCACAGTTGAACTAAGTGCGGCAGGGCTCTGGAGTGCTGTGGCTAGTGGGTGAGGTTTGGGTTTGACAGGATGTTTGTAGGTAATGCAGTTCAATAGGGTCTGAATTTCCTCTGTGATCGGAGCAGAGCAATGCGTTGTTTATCCTCCTCAAACTTCTTTCTCAGCTGTGCGATATCTGTAAGAGAAAAAAAAAGACGGGAGTTTCTTTAAATGTTTTATACACGAGATTGGAAGAGCAGCACTTGGAGAAGGAAATGTGAACACATTCACCACCATAATTCTGCTTTAGTAACAGAGCCAGCACACTATCATAAGACAAATACCAAACATCTAACTTAATTAAAAACCTGCTGAGAACGTATGCCTTCCTTTTTTAAACTAGTATTTCATTTGATAATAGTCATGAGTTGTAAAATTTGCATTTTATTTTCATTATTTTGAGGCTTTCTGTCTCATTGTCATTAGGGATTAGGTAACAGCATCTTCCCCATTTTACTTGCCCATTAAAATAAATGAGACAATTTGGTGACAGCCACGGAGAGGCAAAAAGGGTTTTAGCAATATTAAAACAAGCAAGTGTACTTTCTGTTTAATAGGACTGTCAAGTTTATGACATTAGTTGATGATAAATTGCCATATGAACAACTGCAGTAAACAATTTGTTTTTTTTCCAGTGTATGTAAGTATGAGCCTAAAGTGGCTAAACTGGAATATTTGCTGTCTTCCCACTGTCAATATTCCCAACAGACACAGCTTGACCTCAAATAAGCAAACATTACTCACTCATGGTAAAAATAATTGACAATTAGTGGAAAAAGTCTTAAGACTGAATCCACGTTAGTAAAACTCACGTTCTCTCTGTGTGTCTCGCCGCTGCCATGCGTAGAAGTTCAGCAGCTCTTTTCTCTTCTTCTTCTTGTCTTCCTTCTGAAGCGCCCTCTCATTGGCTACTTCACTATGTGGGCGGGCTTTAACCCCTTTGCTGCCTTTGGTCACTTTAACCCAACCCTCCTCATCCTCCTGCTGTTGCTCCGCCTCCTTTTGCAGACGCTCCGCCTCCTGAGGGCCACAGTGAGGGGTTTATAGTTTATAACAATTATTTCTTTAATCAAACACTTAACCTAACCTTGTTTGATTAATCAACTCATCTAATCTTTGCTGCTGCCATCATTCAAATTTCCATCTGTGCAACAAGCAATTTTTTTCTTTTATGGTATCAAGAAGCCATATCACCCCCTACATTTCCTGTAGCATACTACAGTTTGTTATAATGACCACACTGACTGAAGCCCAGTCCTGAATGGTGCACTCGCAATTGTACAGTCCACAATGGAGTGTGCATGCAAGGACTGCAAGGCCATAGAGACCCATTTCTCATTTTGCCATTTAAAGGGGGCTCACTAGCACCCTCTATGTGCCCTTAGATGATGGCCGCAACAATGTAGAATCAGCAGCGGCTTATCACGCAAAATTCCATGAGATACAAGTGACGGCCAATCAGAGTAGAAGGGTTTCTTTACAGCTGTCTGATCAACGTAGTGGACACGTTCAAATGTCAGTTAAAATGCATTTATTTATTAATTTAACTTTAATTAAGCTTGTACTCTGAATTGTAACGTGCCAAGGTACATAAGGAAACTAGATCATTAAAAAAAGAAAATGAGGATGACTGATACGCTGTGTGCAGCACATACAAAGCCTGTACCTTGCATGAGTCTGTCCCACATTCAAACCAAGTAGTTGTGGTTACTGAAGCCAAGTAGTGGAAGCTTAATAGCACGGTGCATACATCATCTCAAACTACAGTCGTCTGCAAATTTTGGACATCCCTGGTAAAATAACATGTTCTGTTCATCTTCTACGTGAAGTACACAAACACAAACACACTTCTGCACATTTTAATGCAGTATTACTGTTTATTTGCCAAATGTAACACATTGGGAATGTAACCACTTCACATTTGCATCGCATTTAGTGTGTAATGGCCTTAACACCCCTAAGTCTAAAGGCTGTTACACACTGAACACGATGAGGAGAGGAAAATAAAAATACTCTACTTGAAAATGCAAAACATTCAGAAGCAAATCAAAATGGTACACAACGGGTAAAGCATGTTTGTCTTTTCATTTCTCCTGCACTATTGCCCACACTGTAAAACCTAAAAATGGTAGGAATGTCTTCAGGTGCTGAAATATCCTTTGTTCCACCCAAAACAACTAAACGGTGACACTGGGCAGGCTACTTTCCACTTTGGAAAAGTGAAAGGAGTACAGACAATTTCACCCTCTCATACAGGAGCTGAAACTTTATGAGTGCTTTCGCACTCAGCTCAAAAGCTCAGTTAGGGTTACTTTTGAAGATGCTACCACATATGATGGAGCAGAGGATAAACTAATCCTTTACAAAGTGCTGTACAAGTGCACATTATTTCAAATTATTTATCATTGCAAGTGTGTTTGTGCCTGTAAAAGCACCATATACTATTAAAGTACATGCAAATAAATGTGAATGTTAAAAGACCTTATGTTAAAAAAATGTTAAAAGTTCACAGCATAACCCTACCTCCTCTTTCTTCTTGTCGTACTTGGTCATGAATTCATCCACAGCCTCCTGTAGAGTCTCTGGTTTAACAAATGACTGTTTGTATTCATGGATCCACTCTACGAAGAAAGGTTTGGAAATTAGTTAGCAGAATCAGATGTTTTAAATCAGGTAAAACTCTAAACTCTGCAGAGTTGTGGCCCTCACTGTGCTTGAGGTTATGCTTCCTTCATGATCAAGTGGGAACATCCCTCAACCTCGTAATTCCCACTCAGAGTTTATCAAAAAAATCAGACTTCTCCGAGTTGCTAATCTATGTTGTCGTTTTAACATGGCTGCTTCCACAGGACAAGTAATGACTTCTTTTAAGTGTTTTAAACAGACTTTTGAGTTTCTTTTTGTTTATCATATGCTATTTGTCTATGATGCTGATAAATTCAATAATTCTGAGGTTAAGCTGTTCTCTGCAAAAAAGGTTTTATTAAACTCCATGTCTGTGTCATTTTTTGGCACTACATTAAAGATGAATTTTCATAGATTCAGAGTTGGAAAATGTTGAGCTTCCAGTTGTAATGAGCGCAGCATTAGTAAACTGAATTAGACTCAGTGGAGAGCTTATAGATTATGAAGCCAGTGCAGTTGTGTGTGTATAATCAGGTTGTGCAGATCAGTGATGTGTGTGTGTTTAATGCAGTATCACTCACTCTGCAGGCCTGTTTGAACAGGTTTTTCTTTGGTGGAGACGATGAGTGGCGAGTCAAGAGGATGAGCTTTAGCTGCTGCTACGCTGGAGGCGTTTTTAAATACGATGTAGCCCATCTTAAAACACTATATAATACACAAAGTGTTTGACAATTTACCCCATTTTTACTAAAACAGACAGATCAGTTCATTTCAACAATCAATATTAACTCCAACTGTACAGATTAACAGTATATGCTCATCTATTGATACACAGTTTGTGTTAGCCATCCTCTAGCCCATTATCAGTGGTTAGTTTCTGACCAGAGAGCTGCTCTTGACGCGATATTGTTGGTTGGCGGACTGTTCTCAAGCCAGGAGTGAGACTGATGTGTAAAACCTCTGACAGACTCTTAACAATGCCACACACTACCATGTCACTTCTATTTCACTACCATTTCAGTAGCAAAGGTTTCCACCCAGCTGTTGAATTTAGTTCAAGTAAATAACTGAAACATCACACAAAATTATGTAAATAAGGTTTCTGTCAGCTCAACAAGACAATAAAACTCCCTACACTCCTAGCAACATCTGAGAAGCATAAAGAAACCCTTAAGGTTGAGCAGCTTCTCGCTGTTGTTTTGTTTTAATTTTACATCATAGGAGTGCAGAGACTGAAAACACAGGCAAACATTCTGGCCTTTGATCAGTTACTTTCAATCTGTTAACTACAAAATATCATGGATAATTTTATTTTAGATAAAGTAAAAGTATGTTTTATATTTTCATCGGTCCGCTGGTAACTGCTGCCTTCTGTTATGTTTTGCAGCTATGGTCAGGCAAAAACAGAAACGTGTTCAGCCATATGACTTTCCTTTTCTATATTTCATTCATATTATTTATTTCTTCTTATCAGCAAAACATGTATCCATCTCTAATGATGGATAACGCAAGTTATTTTTTATATTTTATTTAATATTTGCTGCTTCTATCATGTTTTTTCATTTAATATGTCAATGGAAACCTTGCTAGTGCTTTGCTGAGAATGGTGAACTAATTGAATTATACCTGGACAACAGCAGTCCTGTGGTCAGAAAGTAGCCACTTTAATAAATTAAGATGTTGAGCATCAGGACCAGGTGTGAATTAATTTAAAAAGCATGATTTCTAGTAAACTGGACAATTTAAACTCAACATGATTTAAAAGAAGAACGTCCCTTGTCTCTTCTCCTTTTGTAAAGTCCCAGGAAACACCGAGTAAAATATGAAAAAAAAGGTTTGTATGATACTAAAATTGGATTAAACATCCTTCAAAGTTCAAAGGAGAAAAAAACAAGATAGAAATATAATAAAACACAGCTTAAAAACACTTATTAGACATATGAGAACCGTCTGAATGTGGTCCTCATTGTTTCATTAAACATATGTAATTGAAAGCTCTCGGTCCAACACACTCATTTTGCTACATTCTACACTACTGAAGCAAAACAAACAACAATGCAAACAGAGAAAGGAGAAATGAGTGATATGGGCTCAACATATATTTATGTTATCTAGCTTTACTGAGAAATCCCAAGTGTGCAGAGTTACCTGTTTGTGTGCAGGTCTGAAGTACTTGGACAGACTGATAGTTTCAGGCTCTGTTGATCCAGGTTTTTCGCTCAGCTCTACAGACTGAACTGAACCAAACTGGGAAAACAGCTCCTTTACCACACTCTAAACACAAATACATAACTATTACACGTTTATACAAGTGCACATTTTAAACTTTTATTTTCATTTATTAAGTTGTCATTTATTAGCTTTTTCATAATTGGTATCATTTAAATCATGGTCCTGTTTTGTTAAAAAAAAACATTCTTACATTATTATTATGATTATTTTTACAGCAAAGTAAATAGAAAAAACCTTCATGAGTGAAGCATACACTTCCGTATGCTTTACCTCTGAGCAGTACGGGGGGATGTTGAGGACAAAAAGCGTCCTGTCCAGCGGCCTCTTCACATTTTTCTCCGCACGTACCCGGTGCTCCTTCACACAGAGCTGATGCTGCGCTACACTGTTAGGCTGGAACTTCAGAGACAAAACTGGAGCACATAAAACATTAAATTTAACACTGAGGAGTACTAAACACACACATACAAATTGGCTTCACTTTCTAATCACTAGAATTAAGAAGCTATTTATCTGGGCAGTACGTGTTTATTTGTTCAGAAAAACATGAATATTACAATAAATACAAATGACATTAATACAATAACCATGCGAAGTGGGTCAATGTTTTCATTTAACCATATTCACACCTCTCCTCATGGGCTAATTAGTACTTCAATATGTTAAATCAAGTGTGCTGCTGATATAATTTATCAAATCTATGTGATGGCTGAAGGGGTCAAGGAGAAATCTGAAATCAAACTTTAGTCTTCAAACAAGCTCACAAGATATCAACTACTTTTTGGAAAATCCTTTTTACTATTTGTAATTTCTATGTTCTCTAGCATTTATTCTAATAATGTATGGTGATTTTACTAGCAAACACACTTACTGCCAAACTAAATGGGTTTCAATAATGTACACAATAACGATCTCTCTAACAGGATGGTTCACACTCGTTAAAGCTCGCTCACAGAAAGCTGTTACATGAAATTGTTAGGAATACACTGCCAGATAGTTTTATAACCATTATATAATCTTTTGGTAATACATTTTTTTATTTATTCATAGTGGAGAGGTACATGCAGGGCACTGTAAGGTAAAACAGTCCCTACATAAAAGATATTTCTTTCAAGCTTACCACCATTTTACCATCATGAATAACTCAGTAACTGCTGTGTCACGTATGTTATCTGATATACGTATATATACGTATATTCACAGACCACAGCATGTTAAACAATCTTTGCATCTTATTCCACTGCCTCATGTCCAGAAATGAGTGCTGTGTCGGCGCTGCACTGTCCTGTCTGTTTACTGTGTCTAATGTCTGTTTTAATCATCGTATTCATTGTACTGTTTCTATTTTAATTTTTTTGCACACGTTTTTATGTCTGCACGTTTGCACTTTGTACTTTTTTTGTTCCATGTTGCACCTTGTTCCTGGAGGAACGTAATTTCACTCCACTGTGTACTTGTACATAGATGGAATGACAATAAAAGCCTCTTGACTTGACTCGATCAACATTAACACGTAGTTAGGCTCACTGGTGGTTTTGGAGAGTAAATAAAATGTCAATATTTGCGTTGTAGACTTCGTGATCCCTGGTTCTCATCATCACCACTGTAAAGAAATCTTAGTCAGTAAGTTTCTCTAAAGTGAAGCATTCCACGTCGAACCACTCTATTTGACTTTCATTACATTTAAATGATCACATTATCAATGGGAGTAATTCCCCTTCAAGCTCCTATGCTGATAGATGATGGCGATACTAAGAAGCTCCGCGGCAGTTCTATAGCATTTCAGTACTCGAGGAGCTATTTTGGACCTAAGATTTTGCAGCAGTTTAAGTTGTTTTCCCTAGGCTACTGTTACTTCTTCCTGTGTCATTAATGCACTGCAGTAATACTTTTAACCTACTTCAGTGTGGCTTTAGATTCCTCTACACGCAGCAGTATTACTCTTCCTGTTTCTCAGTGTCTACATCGTGTATGAACTGCCAGATATATCAAATGTATATTGAACTCTTTCAGGTGTTTATTTACCTTCAGTAGTTGTGTATTTAAAGTTAAATTACCTGTAAATCCTCCTGGAATCACACAAGCACTGCTCGCATGTTTCTTTTTGGGCGCCGCCATTTTCTCTGTGTATACGTCACAAACCGGACGTGGCTCTTAAGAAAGCTGGGCATTGTAGTTCTTTTACTGTAAACCTACAGCCGTACGTCTGTAGTTCAAACGACCTTATATAATAAAACGTAACAAAGTGGCCTAATTTTTGACACGATGGCGTTGATTTCAGGGTAAGTTGGGTGGAAGAAATGAGTGTTTTTCAGTAAAAGTCTGATAGATCAATACTTATGTATAAATATAATTTCCATAAGAACCTCACAATGGTTGCCTCTTGATTAAAGAATTTATTTTAAAGTGTTGCTACTGGTTCATATATCATTCAGTGGAATACAATGAAAAAAGACCTCTGATTTATTGGAAGGTTTTTGGAATAACTGTGTTGTTAAATTTGAAGGTTTTTATTTGGCTCCTGAAAAGGAACAGCCCCACCTAAACCAACCCTGATCCTGGAGGATCTGTACAAAACATTTAGGGCTGGGTCCCTCCTTTTATATGCACTATGAATATGGGTTACAGCAGCGGCCAGCTTACTTGTTATTGCCTGCAGAATTTAGAACTCTCACCAAGACGGAAAACTGAACATATTTCCCAAGTAGTAAAGGGAAATTCCACCAATGTTTCAAATCTCCTGCCTAATGAAAAGGCTCATTATGGAGGAACTTACTTTAAATTTTTTACAGTGGTGTTGATAGGAACCAGGGGTCACAATGTCTACAAAACAGTCATTTTATTTACTATGCAAAACCACCTTTGAACCTACACATGCTCTCTGAGTTGTTATATGTAATGTTGATCCTGGTGAAAGAGTTAAGTCTGGAAAAAAATAGATTTTGCCTAACTATTTTGCCTCAGAATAATAATAATTCTGACTTTAAGTTTCTCTAGAAAGGGGCATTTCACATCAAACCACTCTGAACAACTTTGCTTACATCTTGAAATATTGGTGAAATCCCCCTTCAAGATTTAGTTCATATGCTGCTCAGAGATGAAACTATATATATATATATAGTGATTTTATTAATAGAAAGCACTTTCATTTGCTTTTGCGTTGGAAATGTGCTACATAAATAAGCTTTGCCTAGTGTCAGATTAGATGATTTCTGTCAGAGAACAGATGTCCAGGGTGGAACGAAGCTTTACTGAAACAAATAATGACATCACACTGTCACGTATAAAGCAAAAGATTTACTGCCCCCCAAAAAACAAAAAAAAAAAAAACATTCCAGAAAAGAGGTGTGGCAGCAAATGGCCACAGGACAAACAGCTATAATCCCAGTTTAACAGGTTTGGAACCGCGCACCAAACCGCTAACACAGAAACTCCACAGCCAGTGACGAGCAAACCATACACTACTGAGAAACCAACGGAAGAGGAGTGGGAGACAGCCGCCTCCTCCTGAACACAAAAGATTACCAGAGAGTCTAACAGAGCCTTTATACACAGCATGTACATCCAACATCATCAACAGCTTATCCACCGGCATGGGTATGTGTGTATATATGAGATATTTTATTAGTGGCTGGACTTTTAAAAACAAAATATTAAAAAATAAAGGGAGAAAACACTTTTGGGGATTCTCATGTGGTTGTCGATCTTCAATGTGAACCAAAACTGAACAGAGCTGTAGGACACATACAAATCTCAGAAACGTTCCCAAACCCCCAACCCCCCCCCCCCAAACAAAACAAAAAAAAACACTCCATATCACTGTCCCTACAGCACAATGCACAGATGGTCGTATCCATCAAAGGTGGTGGCTTCTTGCTGGATATCGGGAAGGAAAGTGGTGAGATCGAAAGTGGTGAATTGGAGGTGATGTATACATTACAGGTTGTAGCACATGAAATGCCACGCTACCCCTATAATCATTTTTATTTGGAACTACAGAGTTGTATAATTTGAGGACCCCTGGTCAAATTACATGTTTTATTGAGAGTAAGTTAAAACATCCCCCCACAGGGAACTTAAATATGGCATTTTTAATGAAAATTTCAGTGCACAAAGTCTATTTTTTGCTGGGTTTAACATATCGCGCAAAAAAAAAACCAAAAAAACAAAAAAACAAAACACAACATACGGCCACATTGTTTTTTTTCTCTAAAATGATATTCAGCAAATAAATATTAATTGTGCATAAAAATGCAGCATGCATTTGTTAACATGTTAACTTATTTTCTCTTTAAAACAATCAAGGAAACACAGAATTTGACCAGAGCCACCCAAATTTTGCATACAACTGTATCAAAGATCAAAATAGCTGAAATACCGATAATGTTTTCCCAAACAGAAGCAGAGCCAGCACTGGGCCATGAGTTTTGCAGTTCATTTATAGAGGTTATATTGCTATATTGTTATATTGCTCAGCAGAATGATCTGCTGTTATATTGTATTCATGTGCATTGTGTTTATATGACCGCAAAAGTTTCAGAATTAAGTGATTTGTAATCCGTTATCAAAAATTTCCTTACAGTCGAATTTAATGACAATTCCAGATGTTCTGAACGCAAACAGCAGATGGTAATGGTGTAGGTCTGCACTTTCCTTCCCTATAAAGAAGTGTGAAGATGTGTTTCAAATCAACTTAATATAACAGAATGTATTTTAAATTTCAGGCGGCGCTTGAATGGTTCAGTGTATGTGCTGTGACTTGTTTAAACATGAGTGGAAGGGCCTGGTCGTTTGGTGTGTGTTAGATTTTGATGCGGAAGGCCGTAGGGTTTGCAGTTGCTGGCTCTGTGGTGGATGTGCTCTGAGTGGAGGATTTGAAGAGAGCCTTTAGAATGGTTTGTGGATCCACCTCAGCCTGGGGAGTGCTGGAGCGAGAACGAGAAAGAGACGCCGGCAGACCGTCCTTCTTGCTGCTGGTGGCGGTCGTGCCCCCTGCGCCCCCCGCAGGAGAGTCACTCAACCTCCTTCCACACAGAAAGAGACAAAGTTATATACATACATACATATACACATACATACAATACTGCACAAACGTCTTAAAGCCCGTCTACACAATTTCATAATTTTTATCTATTAAACTAGCCATTTTTTATTTCCCTGGATCTTTAGTTTATTTTTTATTTATTTATTATTTTGTGAATTGTGAGTTTTCACAAATCATGTCTGCTTTGTATTGTGCTTTTCCTGGTTGCACATCAGCTTCTAAGAATGGACAAGTTTTTTTTTTAACCGTGTTCCTAATTTTAAAAAAGGGAAGTCTTGGCATATTTTCTAAACGCAGTGGATCAGTGCTTATTAAGCCCATAATTCTGATCTGCAGTCTTCATTTAGCTGAAGATTAGTTCCACATTTTTAACCAAACAATAATCGGATTTGCAAAGCAGCTCGTCCTTATCAATGGATCCATTCCATTTCTTCCTTCAGCCAGTTTTAGCCTCTACTGGATACCAAAACAGCGCCAAGTCTCAGCCAAAACTACCAGATAGTAGGTCATTTAATCTTTTCTAAATTTGTTAATAGTACTTCTTATGAAAATGTATTACACTATTGTTCGTAACGTAGTTAGACATAGCTTTTTATTAGTGGTAGCCATCTGCTGCCACCGGTTAACTTCATTTATGTGAGCATGATAGCTAGCAATCCACCTTAGCTGAAGGAATTATACATTAGCTTTACTTCAGCTTTATTTTAGCTGTATAGCCTATATTTAGGCTCAAATATGTAGGGCTCAAACATGTAGGGCTGAAAACCTAGTGGTGGTGCTAATCCTGCCTAATCATTATAGAAGCATTGCCAGGGAGATGCTACTGTCAATCACTATGCAATCAGACACATCCACGTAGTTTTGAGCACACAGCAGGTCAGAATTTCTGCATAGAAAATATGTCTTCATTTTTAGCACTATTTTACCTTCATCAACATTATATATAAAAACTTGAGTGTAGGTTCACTAGTGGTTTTGGACAGTAAATAAAATGGCTATATTTGTGTTGTAGACACCACAACCCCTGGCTCTTATCACCACTATGGTAAAAAAAAAAAAAAAAATCAGTCAAATAAATGTTTACTGGCAAAACACACAGCTTTTTAAAAATAATTTTCCCAGTTGCCTAAACCTTTTGCACAGTACTGTACATCTAAACATACATGTTTATTTTGTCAGAATTGTGTAAAGAAATCGGAATTGGCCATAAAAAATTTCGATGGTTGCACCCCTAGTTACTAGCTCACTCAAAATAATACCACATTCTTGAATATGGTTTTGGTAAATAACACATAGAGCCAGTTTCCGAAACATGGATTAAGGCCAGTCTTGTACTAAAAAGAATTTCCAATAGTGATTCAACACTGACAGTTCAGCCCAAAATTAGGCTTAATCCATGTCTCGGAAAACAGTGCTTAAAAAGGCATTGGTCATTTATCAGCAGTATTTCTGCAATGCTGATAAATCTGTGGAACCTCAAAATCACCCACTGTTATCAGTCTGACCCTTTCACCTTTCTTTTACCTCCACCAATTGCACTTTTGCAGTGTTTAAAGGGCTTTCTTCTATTCTTGCAAGTTATTTTTCAATGGAATATTTTTATTTTGTTATTCTTAAATATTTAATCAAAATGTGTATCCTGAGCACTGACAATATAAATGCAGCAATATTTTTCATGGCAGTAAACTAGAATGAATTGCAGTGAACTGAATTTGGACACAAAAAAATAATCAGAATGTGATTTGGACTCACAGCAGGATTGGTTGGTCTGATGTGATCACATTGCCCTGTATGTGCAGATTACACTTCATTGGCTGACCTGCAAAAGCCACAACAAGAGAGATGATATGGAGAGAGTGAAAATTACTCACTGTAAAATATAATAATACTCAGATTTGAGATTATTAAAAGTAACTGAATGAGTACTGAAACTTATTTTAAAAATCTCACAAAACAAATTACGAGTGTGCAAGTTTCCTACCATCCAGGCAGCGGTTGTTGTACTTCCTGTAGGCGCTAATAGCATCTTCTTTCCGCACAAACACCACCTCAGCCACTCCCACCTTCACCAGCCTCGCTCTCTTCAGCGCTCCACACACACAGAACAGCTCCTACACCACATGCAGATGGAGTGGTATTAGGAACATCAATAAACATGCTTATGTGTATAAATATGGGTGGGTGCAAAAGGAATTAAGTGATTATTTATCTTTACTAGTTGACTAGTCATTTAAAATGTAGTCATCACTTCAATAAAGAAACAAGAATGTTCTGGAAGTCTGTGAAAAGTATTTAGTTAGTAGCTTCCTATTAGGGGCTCATTCTAGCAGCAGATGTGCAAGATGCACACTGCAGAAAAGTTTTTGTTGTATTTCAGTCAGTTTCAGCCTCTGTGTGTGTTTCACACGTACTACCTCTGTGTGGCGTGACCAATGCGGATGTCTTGTTTTTCATTCTGGCACTCATGTTAACAGGCCAAACCTTTCACACAGGCCAAACCTTTCACACAGGCTGCATACAGTGGCAGAGCGTCCCAGATGCAGCACTGAGATGAGCTGATTTCTTCAGCATGCAGCAAAATACATTTTATTTTGTACAAAATAAGCCTTAAGAATCATTGAAAATGAAGTAAAAAAAATGCACCAAGTGTTTAAACTTGGTGGTCTTTAAAGAATTACATTTTTATTGACCAAAGTGACTGATTTGATTATTTATCCATTTGTTAGAATTGCAGAACTTTCTTATGCACCACTCCACAGCAAAATGCTGTATTTGTGAATGGCAAACGCTGTAGGCTGTAGCAGTCTTGCTGCCATGTCAGTAGCACATGTGAAACAGGCCTCAGGCACTCTGCCCACGAAGTACACAGGCTGTCTAATGTAAACTGCATGCTAAAATTGCCACAGTTGTCAGAAATTCACCCTTTATAGAAAATTTAAACTGGCTCTGATCTGTATACTGTCCAGTGGAAAACAATCTACTCATACTCTACCTGCATCTACTCATTAACAACCCAGAGGAAGGAACCAGAGGTTCAGAGGAAGGTATAGGCCCAGACACTCAACCAGGAAATATTCATGATACCCCATTTTAAGAAATTATTCCTGAATTGTCTTTGAAACCATAAGTAGACAAGAAAAAAAGATATCTGCGCACATTTGCCAACCGCCATTCCAACTCTGTTGCGCAGACTATAGTCTACAGTCTGTGATTGTATGTTTTGCATGTCAGTCACAAAGCCCTTTCCTATCAGAGACAAGGCTCTCAAAACCTATCCAGTCTCGCTTACAAGCTTGTATTTGTATTTCAGTGAACTTTTACACAGCTGGCTGTGGAATTGGTTTCACTGGTGAATTAGTGTATTTTTTCCAAACTAATAAAGTACTTTGTTCTTTATATTTAACAGAAAAAACTTCTGCCTCTTCACTACAGTTTTTACTACTCCTGTATTTCAATCAGTGTCCTCAACTAGTTAACTGCCACCCACAGTGCCGACTAGTCAACTAGACTATGTAACCCCTAACGTGTAACATGCCTATGAGTATTGTCTAGTATTATAAGTATTTATTTAAAGTGACTGGCAAGTGTAACATGTTTGGTTAAGTGTACAAGGTGTGCATGTTTAAAACTCACCACTATGTCCTCCTCTGTGACACGTGGGTGCAGATTATTCACTGTGATTTTGGTTCCTTCCAATGGACTGAACACCGGCTGCACACGCACGCACACACACACACACAAACACACAGAAACATGAAGTTTAGGAGCAGAGGAAATTAGAAAAGAATTAGCTTAAGCGGCTTAAATTTGATTCTCCTAATAGTCCCTTTCACACAAGCACCTTTACCCGGGTATTTAATGGTATTTAAACAGGAATGGGTTGACTGTGAATGCAAGCAGAAGTCAAAATCCCAGTCAAGTTTATGCAGCACTTCACCTGCTCAAGACTGAGTACAAAACCCAGGAAATTACCAAGAGGGCTCATGTGTGAACAGAAGTGACACATCACCTGGAAATACAATGACATCTAGAACAAAGCCAGCAAAGGGGTGTTTTTGTTTTTGTGAGTAAAACTAGGGGTCGACCAATATGTTTTTTTCAGGTTTGATACAGATTAGTGATCAAGGACACCGCTAACCAATATTTGATACATTACCCATGTATGATCTATATAATGATAATATATATTTTAAATGTATCATACATAATTAATTGTTCTCTTAGACACACATGAGCAACGCAAATAACGTAACTCATTCAATCAGTAAATGTAATGTGTTTACAAGAATTAAATGCTTTATAACAAGAAAAAGTAATCACATTCTTCAGCAGTCACTGTGTGCATTTCACTAAAATATGTGCATGAGGAAAATGTGTGTGTGCATAACCATGCATCAGCACAAAATATTGTTTAAGGGCTGCATGTGTGAATGACACAAAGCACAAACTTCACCAATGAAAGTGCTGTCCTGGGTTTTGAGTATGAAAAGCACTATAGTGAGTGCGTGTCTCACCTGTGGAGGCGCAGACTGAGCACTGCCATTTCCAGTAGCTTGATGTCCAGTAACCATTGTCCTTGAGACGGGCTGCAGGGTCTGCGCGGGGGGTCGGGTGCTGGGACGAGCGGGTGCCACAGCAACAGGGGCGGAAGGGGATGGGGCTGTGTAAGAGTCATTCTTTACCACCTTAGTGATGGGAGTGGACACTAAGAATGATGCACCTGCACTTGCCTACAGACAGAGAGAGAGAGAGAGAGAGAGACACATAGATGAGTGAAGATTTAAGGCGGTGATAACACTAACAACAAAAACCAAAAGTTCTTTAAATAAAATTGTTCAGTGCATTTTTTGATAAAATGATTATGCCCGTCTATTCTTCAATCCTGTATTAACAACAAAGGTACAAACAGTCGCTACTTCGCAGCACCACGTGGAACTGTGTGCCTTTTCTTCAATAGCCTGGAGAAGAGAAGTCATTTAGCTGTAAAGTGACGCTTAGCTGTAAGTTCTTGATAACTTTAACCCAATTTATGGTCAGAAACTGTTGGTCATGGGTGCACACATCCACTGAAACACCCAGACCCACTCAACAGCCCATAAAAAAGGCCTTATGGAATGAGTGCCCTAATTGTAATGAAATTCTAACCGGAGCTTGATAAAAGTCAGGAACCACTGTGACAGCATACTGTGGGACACAGTTTCTTACTCTCACATATTGGTGGTGAGTAAAATGTCATGTCATGTCATTTTTCCCCACCCAACCTGCAGTTTAACTGCAGCACACACTTAGACTAGTATCAAATAGTCGTGATCCACTGTGTGTGTGCGCGTGTGAGTGCAACTCACTCGTGTCTGTGCCATGTTATTGGCCGCGGTGATCTTCATCTGTTTGCTAGGAATGGCACCACCATCATCATCTTCAGTGGAGAGATCCTAGAGAAAGGAAAACATACATATTAGCACTGCATTAGTGTGTCAATGCAGAGGCCCAGCCACGTACACACAAACCTGTCTGTATGTGTTTACAAGTAAGCCGAGAGAAGAGTCTACAAAGTGTGCAGGTCAGGGATAAGGCTCACCTGAGCTGCCCTGCCAGGGACGTTTATACGGATTCCACTGGTCATACCCACAGGCCTCTGCTACACACACAGAGACAGAGACAGAGAGAGAGAGAGACAGAGAGACAGAGAGAGACAGAGAGAGAGAGAGAGAGAGAGACAGAGAGAGAGAGAGAGAGAGAGAGAGAGAGAGAGAGAGAGAGTTAGGCATGTGGGAATATATAAGATGTTCAGCAGCAATGTAGCATTCTAAATAAATTAAAACCTGAAACATGCAGCTCGTTTAGGCTTGTTACATCATCATAAAGAAGTAGATATCAGGTGAGGTATATTTGATTGTGATACATACAGATGTCAAGTAGGCATTTTTTGGTTTAAATGGTGGCAACTGAAAGAGTAATAGTGTAACAGTGCTTGTATCCCTGCAAAATTAATGACCACTAAACACATATGTAATTTGGTGCACTTTAGCCATAAACCAACCAAATATTCAAGATAAAATGTCACAAAAACCCAAACTCAGATGGAGACCTTGGCAAACAAACTAGGAGTGAAAACGGCCTTAGAATCCATGCTCTAAGTTGATATCATCTTGCAGACCATAACTGACTGTTTGCAAAATAATGACTTAATGCTCAACTTATCACTGCTTAGCAAGCTCAGCTTAATAATTTAGGCAGACTAAACAGTACTCTACAGCGCTCAGCGTATAAAATGTTCTGTTAGAAGATAAATATTAGTATACAGTGCCCTCCACAAATATTGGTACCATTGGTAATCATGAGCAAAATGAGCTGTTATAAATATTCTTAAATACTTATCCTTTTGATCTTTCATTTAAAATAGTAGCAAAAATCTTACCTTATTTAAGATATAATGAAAGAAAAATCTAAATCTGGTCATGAAACAAATATTTTTCTTAAATTAATGTGTGCCACTATTGTTGGCGCTCCTAGACATTCTTAAAAGAGTGAAATCTAACTGAAGTATATTCCTATTCATATTCTATGTTTTAAAGTTCACCTGGAAAGTCAGGAAAACTTAAATGGGCAGTCATCACTTCCTGATTCACTGGGGAATATATATGAAAGATGAAACACAGGCCAAACACCCTCAGTCATCCATCACTATGAGAAAGACCAGAGAGTACAGCAGAGATGTGTGACAAAAGGGTGTTAAGCTGCACAAATCAGAAAAAGGCTTCAAGAAAATAGGTGAACAGCTGAAAATGTCCATTTCCATTATCAGGCCAGTAATGAAGAAGTTTAAAACAACTGGAGATGTTAAGAATCTGCTGGGAAGAGGACGTATGTCTATACTGACTCCATGCAAAGTGAGGAGAATGGTTCAAATGCACAAAGAATCTCCAAGGATCACATATGGGAAACTGCACAAATTAGTAAGGTTTTGGGGTCAGACCGTCTCCCAAACCACCATGACACCAAAATAAAGGTTTCTGGAAACAAACACCAGAGGTGAATTTGGTGTGCACACAAAAACAGCCATGCAGAAAAGTACCTTATCCTCACTGTAAGGTATGGTGGTGGACCTGTTATACTGTGAGGCTTTTGTTCTTCCAAAGGTCCTGGACAATTTGTTTGGATATATGGTATCACAGACAGTCATGTACCAGCAGATATAAAATCAAGACCTGACAGTTTTAGCCAGGAAGCTTAAACTGGGCCATAGTTTGGATCTTCCAGCAGGACAATGATGCAAGCACGCCTCAAAATCAACACAAAAACTGTTCACTGACCACAGAATTAAAGTTTTGCCATGACCACCCCAGTCCCATCCCAGACCTGAACCCCATAGAAAACCTGTGGAAAAAGCTGAAAAGCAGCTGAATGATCTGAAGAGGTTCTGCAAGGAGGAATGGTTTCAGATTTTTAGCCATGTGTTCTCTAGTCTCATCAAGCATTATAGGAGATAACTCAGAGTTGTTATCTTTGTAAAGGGAGGCTGTACAAAGTATTAAATGAAGGTGTGCCAACAATTGTGATAAGATTTTTTTTAAGCATTGTACTTAAAAAAATAGTTACATCTTTGTTAATATTTTGAATAAAAAATCTATAGGATAAACAATAAAAAAATGTTTTTACAGCCTATTATAATCATGTTTACCAGGAGTGCCAATATTTGTGGAGGGCACTGTATGTGCTATTCTTTGCATTATGTGAGGCTTGCTAAAAGACCTCTGTGACACTGCACCAACTATCTTTAGTCTGATCATTAGATCTATTTCGTTCAAATAAAGAAAAAACATACACTGAAAGCAAGAAAGTTCGGAGGCATGGCCTTAAACAAAAATAAGACAATTCTATTTAAACTTAAAACTTCGATCTAACCCCAAGTCTCACATGGATCAGTTTTGATTGGGCTACATCACAAGGGCAGGTAAAGTAAACCAGTCAGGGACAAACTTCTGATCAATCAGTGTCGAGCTTCAGTGTTTCATCTGACTGGCTGTTACTGTCACTGTCATGTGATCTATGTCATGGTTTCATGTGCAAGCGCACAAGAATTAGCTATGTACATACAGTATCTCTAAGTTAATAGAGAAAGTTGTCAATCACTGCCTTAACAGAGTGTAACTACTGCATTTTTGCTAGGCTCATCATGAGAGACAGACCCCTGATTAACTGTTTTGTAAAATACTCATATGCTCTGTCTTACTTGGATGGTTTTGGTGATCTTGAGTGGAACTGCTGGCCCCTGATTAGGTGATGAGATACTCCTCTTCAGGCTCAGCCTATCCCGTGCATCCACCACTTTCGTAAGCCCACCTCCAGGCTGGATGGCCACACTCACTCTGGAGTTAAGTCCTTGATTGGTGGGAAAGGCCCTGGTGGTGGTGCTGACTGGAGAGGTGTTGTGGATGTGGATGTGGGGTATAGGCGTGTGCTGGCTGCTGGTTGTTGGGGGGTCCGGTTGTTGCTGCTGCTGCTGTTGTTTGCGGGAGTTTATGGTCTGTCTGGCGTCCTGCACTGAGCTCACAGCACCCCCTCGCCCCCGAATACGGAAACGTGCATCCTTCTGCCCCAAGCGCTCCCGTGCATCCTTCACCTGAAACACTGGGGGGAAAGGGGGCAAATGAATGTGTGAGAGAAAGAAATGCTGCCTCACAGCTGGGTCAGCTTCCTACACCAGAGCACCAGTGTGGTGTATGATGTACACTACAGGCCAAAAGCAACAATAACTTTATATTTAAAGAATTTGTTTGTTTGAAAAAAAACAGAACACCTCAGATCACTTCAGACCTTGATATGAAGGCTAAAGATTGAATTGTTTCCTCTCTAACACTAAAAGATCATCAGTGTTGTCAATCGCATCTAATTGCAAATTTGTGTATAGTCGTGAAAATTTGTCAGAAGGGCCAAATCACTGCTAAAATATGCCTAAAAATCATGTAGTAAATGCCCAGCTTAAACACTGATGTGGTAATTTACCTGCACAAGACCTTGCACCATTCCTGCTAAACTGCTGGGAGGGCTCATGTGTGAACAGAAACTGATTACCAGGAAAGTTGAGTAAAGTACTGGCTAATAAATGTTTTTACAGTGCTGAGGTTTAGTTTGTCATGCTACTGTATTCTGCACTTTATTTAGTGGCATATAACTTGAGAGAAGAAAACTGACCCTTGTCCATAAGCTGCTACTGTGCTAAAGCAACACAACATGAGCAGCAAACATGATGCTTTTGTTTTTACAGTGGGCTTTTCCATTTTTGCAAGAATGTTTAGATTGATCTAGAAATGAGGGAACTTTTCGTCATTCCTACTGAGTACGTCACATTCTGTTTAATAGGACGTTAGTGGTAAAAGTATATGTCACTGGACTTCATTGTGTAATATTTTGTGGGGAAAAAACACAACTTGTTTCTACATTTTTGCGTGTAACATACACAATGTATTCTTTAATAATCTACATATACTTTCAGCATGATGCCTTTGATATACAGTGGCAAGAAAAAATATGTGAACCTTTTGGAATTTTATGGTTTTCTGCATTAATTTTTCATAAAATGTGATCTGATCCTCATCCAAGTCAAGCGTATTGACAAATATAATGTGCCTAAAATAATAACACAAAAAAGTTCTGATCATTCACGTCTTCATTGAGAACAACCATAAAAATCTCATAGTGCTAGTGGACAAAGTATGTGAACCCTTGAGTTAATGATCTCAAAAAAGCTAATTGGAGTCAGGTGTTAGCATACCTGGAGTCTTGTTAAGAAAATGAGTTTGGAGGTGTGGACTAGAGCTACTTTGACTGATAAAAACCACTCAAACATTTGAGTTTGCTCTGCACAAGAAGGATACGCATATGTGAGCCATGCCTCACCAAAAAGAGCTTTCAGAGGATCTACAATCAAAAATTGTTGATTTACATAAAGTTGGAAAGGGTTACAAATTAGTTAGAAATTCACCAGTCTACAGTAAGGCAAACAATCTACAGATGGAGACAATTTGGGACTGTGGCTACTCTGCGAAGAAGTGGGCGCCCAGTCAAAATGACCCCAAGAGCACAACAGAGACACATCAATGAGGTAAAGAAACAACCCCGAGTGACAGCCAAAGATTTGAAGGTATCATTGGTACAGTCTAACATCTGTGTTCATGAGTCTACAGTCCGTAAAACCTTGAACAAGCAGGGTGTCTATGGCAGAACACCACGAAGGAAGCCGCTGCTTACTAAAAAGAACATTGCTGCATGCCTGAAGTTTGCAAAAGAGCACACTGACACTCCACAACGGTAATGGCAAAATGTTTTGTGGACAGATGAAACTAAGATTGAACTATTTGGAAAGAACACGCAGCGCTACATCTGGCGTAAAAAAGGCACTGCACATCACCATGAAAATATCATCCCAACCGTAAAGTATGGTGGAGGGAACATCATGATTTGGGCCTGCTTTGCTGCATCAGGGCCTGGCCAGCTTACAATCATTGAGGGGAAGATGAATTCCCAAGTGTATCAAAAAATTCTACAGGATAATGTGAGAGTGTCTTTACGCCAGCTGAAACTCTGTAGAAGTTGGGTGATGCAACAGGACAATGACCCAAAACACTGGAGCAAGTCCACAACAGAATGGCTTATGAAAAACAAAATCCGCCTTTTGGAGTGGCCAAGTCAGAGCCCAGATCTCAACCCTATAGAAATGCTATGGATTGACTTGAAGAGAACATGAGACGTCCAAGGAACATGACAGAGCTAAAGCAGTTCTGCCAGGAATAACGGGCTAAAATTCCTCCTGAACGATCCACAGCTACAGGAATCGCCTGCTTGAGGTTACTGCTGCCAAGGGGGGGTCAACCAGCTATTAATTCCAAGGGTTCACTTACTTTTTCCACTACCACTTTGAATGTTGAATGAGTGTGTGCAATAAAGACCGGCAAGATCATATTTTTTTTGTGTTATTATTTTAGGCACATTATATTTGTCAATACACTTGGCCTGGATGAGGATCAGATCACATTTTATGCCAAATTAATGCAGAAAACCACAAAATTCCAAAAGGTTCACATACTTTTCCCTGCCACTGTATAATATTCTGATGTACTATCTTGCATTGTCCAGTATTGAATTGTGTACACAGCATTTACACTTTTATATCATGTCTACAATATTTCATCCTGCACTTTTCCTGCTGTTGTGAGTACCATGCATATTGTATCAGTGAATACAGTGAGTAAGCATTTTATATGGTACCAGTATAATGACAAAGATAAACTTGATTAAACTAAATTCAGTTGAACTGATCTGGGCTCTTTACCTCCACTCCCTCCTAGTCTCTGTCTCATATCACTGGTGCCAATCTTCTGTCTGGCATCAAACGTCCTGCCCACCATCCCTGCCCCTCTGCCCGCCAAACCTGCACCTCTCCCCACTGTGCCCACTCCTCTCCCAAATATCGGCCTGCAAAACAAACAAAAAAAATAGGGATGGGTGATATGGCCAAAAAACAAAAAACAGTATCACAATACTTAACATTTTCTTGATACAAGGTAAGTATAACAATATATAATTGTTCTAATGTTTGATAAGCTGAAACAGACAGAATGCACATGCAGTGCCAAATTTAAAAAAAAAAACATGATGAACTATGAGTACAATGATTTCCATTCAAAATTTAACATACTGAAGTGCACTAAATCTAACTAAAACAGGACTAATTATGATTTCTTTGTAATGAAATAAGCAAGTTGGTCAGTGTTGTGAAAGTACCGATGATATCCATATACTCACAACAGTCTTCATTCATGGAATCATGATCTTTTTTTGATGGTTTCAATGAGCACTATGTCTTTAGTTTTCTCCTAGATTTTTTTTTTTAGGCTGGGTAATTGACCCTTCGTACTTTAGCAAGCACATTAATTATGAAAGGATATCAGTGCAACCTTTACAATGAACTGTGAAGGCACTCTGACTAACAATACGCATAAAACAGCTGCACAAACATCAATTAAAGAATGGCATGACAAAGTGACATTATAGTGGGAGCTTGTGACACTACAGCTACTTTGATGAAACTGCGACTTGTTTGACTGAAATGCAGTAACTGCATTTCACGGTGTCTACGGTAACAACAGTGCGCGTCTTGAACACCACGGTATAAATTATTACTGAATATCGGCACAAGACTAACCAGCACACTGGATTTAAATTAAATTCTGTTTAAACTGAATAGTGGCTTCCATCGTCAAAGAGCAGCCTACTATCTAGCTTTCTACACCCTTACTGTCCTCGGCAGAAACACTGGGTAGTCTTTAATAAACTCTCACCCAGAAAGAAAACCACGCTAGCTATATAAACAGTATTTCATCAAAGACTCACACGCTAAACACCCTACAACCCCACAGTAAAAGAGAATTTATACATTACCAAGTGAAAGTATTAAGACTTCACCACCGTACACAATCGACGCAGACAAGTGCACAAATAACATAACTAGTCGCTAAAGTAAAAAGACTGGGCAAGTATTATGATACTGGCTTGTGACAGCGGTCTCCAAAAATCTGTCTCTAGCTTCACTCACGAGATGACTTGTTCTCAGAAGGTTTTCATACCAGCACAGGCCAAAGCAAATGTCTAACGTTAGCTATCTGATTCCACCGACTTGCTAACCTGGCCTGAGTTATGAACGCTGTGGGTTAGAACTGAGCTAAATCTGATCAAGAAATAGTCGATAACATCCTTACCTGGGATAGAGGAGTTGGAGATTGAACACATTTTTATTAAACAATTGAATAAAGCGGTTTTCAGCCTTTTCTTAGTCGGAGTTTGATTGAGCGAGAAGCAAACTTTAAACCGGATTTACAGAAATACAGATGCAATTAAACAATATTCATTCAAATGAACTGCTTCTTTATCTCCTGCTTGGGTTTAAATGTTACTTTTCGTTTTATTTTATACCTCTCACTAAATTTGTAATTCTACTCGGCTAAGCTACGCTAGCCTGTCCTAGCTTAGCCACGCGTGTAGGGCTGCAGTGTGAACCAATCACAGAGTAGCACACTGCACAGCCACCCAATAACAGCAGAGGACACTGCCGGGCCTCTACGATTTGTCCAATCCGCGGAGAGGATGGAGGCGGGTCGATAAGCTGCAGCGGCAAAACACTTCAAAGCGGCGTTACATTCCGTCTGTTCCCGTTTAAAGCAGCGAGTAATGCTAGAATGGATAGAGTAAATAAAGCGGTGGCGCTGCTGACCAACCCGCTGACTTTGTTTATTCTCGGCATTTTATTTTAAAGCTAGGTTTTTTTTACCTCTTAGCGCCGCGGCGGCGGATCAGCTCATCCAGAGAAACATCCGCCATCTTCCTCCTCAGTGTAGAAAGCGCATGCGCGGGATGAAAGGCTGGAGTGACGCCATCGGGTTTACCAAAGCTGATTAAAAAATCTCGGAGAATATAAAAAAAGAAAGAAAAAAATCTCGGAGAATTATATTTGCAAAAAATAATAAAATTCCTATATCTCTTAGGGAATAAGCACTTGTACCTGATGTGATGCCAGCTGGAGTAACTATGTTGCTGAGGGGTGTGAACCTTCCATGGCTGTTTCATCACTGGATTTTTATTTACTGGATACCTTTATTCATGCTTAGTGTTTTACAGAGCAGCAACGTGATAACGACAAAATTAGAGCTTTACTCCTGAAAGAAAGTCATGATTCCTTATATAATTTCATCAACAACTTTTTTTCTTGAAATCAAGGAACAAAAGTTTAGTATTGCAGAATTTACACCGATAAATATAAATAATTTAAATACTTCATAAAATAATTTATCAAGTAAGAAGATAAGATTTATTATTAAATACTTCTCTTCATTCCCCTCTGCATAATTACGGCAAAAGGGAAATTAAGAAAATGAGCTTGAACAAACACCAAGAGATCAGACCAAAACAAATATGAGGATGGTATTGCAGAGAGTATCTTTTGGCGAAAAGCGTGGTCCTTACCGCTCAAGTACCTACTTTTTAACAGAAGTGAAATAAGTTACGCTTAAATTACGCTTAAACTAATATTATATCCAGAAAAGGCTTTCCTTAAGAGGTACAAGTCTGACACTAAAACCGACTGCTCCTTCTGAAAATAAAAACAAAAAAATGTTACTCACCTGTTTTGCCAGTGTGCTCACACAGGTAGACCGAGTTTTGATCTCTTTGTTCAAGCTCATTTTATTGTTGATTTTGTTTTCTTTTGCTTAAAGGATATTCTTTATTATGCTTAAATATGCAGAAGGGTATGAAAATAGGTATTTTATAGTGAATCTAAAATAGAAGAACAACATAAGCTTCTTATATTCATTTAGGTCTACAGCAGTATAAAAGCAAGTTTAAAACGCATAACCTTAATAAAAATAGACTAAGACTTTTTCTATTTCACCCAATAAACGATTACGGAACTGGGTTCACAGTGAAAGAAAGTAGAAAAACATGCAGAACACAGAAATGAATTGAGTGGTCGTAATGATTAGGGGGCGGGTCCTACTTTGGAAGAGGCGATGACGTTTGCTCAATCCCACAATGCACCACCATCAAAAAAGTACAACGTGAAAGACAATAGCGTTAAAATTCCTTGTATTAAAGTTAGGTTGACCTTTTATATGTTTATAATGGCATGTTTGTTTCACATGTGTTTGAATAAAATTCATAATATAGAAGAAATAACAAGAGCTTATGTTTTTGCCTCCTCACCGTCACCGAGCAGACTGTGGTCGTGTCTTAAGTTTGTGGTTCGGAGATAGCCGAGTTATGCCTTAAACTGATGAGTAAGGAAAATAACGATGCGGGGTGACGCCCGCATCCTCGCTAGAGCTCGCGAGTTGAATTTTTGAACGGGTACAGGTCTGACTAGCGAGTGTTTGGCCTACTTTGCTGGACGCCCTGGGTACCAGGATCTACCCGACCATCAATTGTTAAGATCAATAACACACATTGTTTTCACGTAGTTGTTTAGATTGAATTAGTTGAAATATCTGAGTGCAAATTATGCAGGTGTTATTATAGCACTTGTTTCATCAATTACCGGATTTAGAAAACATGTTTCAACAATAAAATCTCTAAACTGTGCTAAGCATCTTCCTTCTAGGACAACTTGTGAAAAATAAATATTAATATGCTTTATTTCAGTTTTAAACCTGGCAACTTTTTGATGACGAGGGTGGGGCATAGTAGACGCTGGATATTTAAAGATTAAAAGTACAGCACAATGCGCTTGCAGCCATGTCTACCTTACCTGCAATATACACCTCCACCGCGACGCGGCGATGTAGTACAACTGAAGGACTTACTAGCTGTACTTGGACCTTCGCTACTAGAACAGGTAGAACAACGGAGCACTGGCGTGTTGAGGCAGAGAAACTGCAGTGCGGTCGCTGGGATATATTGAAATCTGGGATTCCCTCATTATAAATTTGACATCATTTCTGATAAAAAGATAAAATGGATACATGGGAAGACCAACACATGAAACTCCGAGCCCTGGCCTAAAATAAATGCTTCTTGGGTTTAGCTGAGGGGCTATCCAGTTGTTTCAGTACGATCACTGCAGTATTATTAACGTTACAGTATGAAATGACAGTGGGCTTAAGTGACTGAATAAAGTTATACAGGCTAAGATGAAGATAATAAAAGGTTCTTAATCTTTTCAAAAGCTATGCAATATAGGATAACTGTATGGTATTGGTGTTAGGATAATTTGGATGCAAGTTCTACAAAAACTAAACTAAAATGTACCCAATTATCTCCTTTACCCCAAATGTATTCAAAGAGCAAACACATATTTGGGATCTGAACTGTTTCTTTAGTTTTACACAGCAGCTAAGGTGCTAAGTAGCCATAGCAGAGACAAAACTCAGGCTTCAAGATGGCTGCTACTATATTTAGCTGTTTAAAACTATTCCTCATATTTCTTGTGCCAGAGTTTAGCTGTTTCTGAACATTTGTTCTATCAGAGTCTCTGTTACTGCTGTAATTTTTAGGTAAGTCAGGCGGAGGTCGGCTACTCCGCTCTAAAAAATCTGTAGCTGTTACATATGTAAATATTGAGCTTACCTAGTGACCCTGAAAGAAGAGATATCCCATAAGGCCATACTCTAATTCTTATTAGCATAGATGAGACGAAAAATAAGTTTTGTTATCAGACAACTAAGCTACTTTAAATACAGTTAAAATGTTTTTGGACAATCCACCGCAACTTCAGTTCCATGTCTCCAATAAAACAGCTAATTCTGCTGTTGATTACTAATGCCTTGAGTTTACATACTTTGTACAAGGGTTTGCTGATTGGTTAATAGGTCTCTTTTGAGCGGTAGGACAAGCAGGACCTGCTCTTTTAATAATGCTTGAAAATTAATATAATGCCACCTGTAGTTATTACCATTTTTTATCCTTGGAAAAACTGTGGCACATTTTATGATTTGTTATGATAATGCTAATTTTACTCAATAATGACACTTTTTTCAGTTCTTTTATTACTAATGCCACATGATAAGCTGACCAATTACAAATGTTTTTTTGTGGCTTTGTGTGGCTGCCATACACATAGCAAGTACACCAAACATTGTCCACAATTGTGGCAGGACTGGACAATTACCCCACAAGACTACATTTGGATGATACTACAGCTACATTAGTTGAATAACTTAGCAAAAAAATCAAATTTGCACAATGTTCTCTTTACCCCTAAATGCCATCAAACATCCAAGACACGTTTGTGTTTGAACGTGTCTGAAGTTTGTTTCTTTAGCACAACACTGGAGCCATGAAGCTAATGTAGCTAACACGTAAAGCACTGTGCTAACTGAATACAACACAAAAGGAAAGACTAAGTTCAGGCATCAAGATTGCTACTACCATTATTTACTTTTTTAGTTACTGTAGCTATTTCTTGCCAAATTATTCCTTTAATTTCTCGGGCTGGGGTTTGTCTATATGTTCTCTTTCAACCATTGGTCTGTCAGAGTCTCTATAATTTACAGGTTTTCCTCAGGTGGAGGCCACCTCCTCTGCTCTGAAAATCTGCATATATGCAAATATGGAGCTCATCTGAGAATGAGATGTCCCATTAGGCCCTGTGTGCTAATCTTAGTAGATGTTTTTACTTTTTACAAAACAAAACCTACATTGTATAAAATAGGATTATCTATAGTACAAAGCAAAATAAACATAACTTCACAGTTTAAAACACAGTTTAATGAGTAAGTAAGTGTGCTGTGTTTGGAGAGTTTGTGTAAAAGCTGTTTGGATAATCTACCATGACTGCAGTTCACTGGTTCCAGTATGGAGAGGTTTATTCCAGAGTTCATTACTTATGCCTTAAATTGATGAGTAAGGGAAAAACAACATGGGATAATTCCTATGTGCATGTATACTTGGCAAGATGATTTTTTTTTGAGAGGGTATAGGTGTCTGTAGACAGGCACTCACCTATCTTGTGAAAGGTTTTCTATGAGCAGGGTTTGCCCTACAAATTACTGGTTAAAAACAGATGACATGATTTGTTAAACATTAGGTTTTCTAAATTTATTGTGTGCTTTTATTATTTGTTAAAGTAACACTGGTTTATAACAATGTACATATATTTGTAAATCTAGTGTAAATTTAGAAGTTAGGGTTTGGGAGAGCCACCTCCCAATGGAACAAATCAAGTAAAATCACTTGTTATATGATATTTACACAGGTGTGGAAATGAGTGAATATATGAGGTGCTTAGCCCTTCGTGTCACACAGAATTAAATTCCCAGAATATACATGTTATCTAAGGTTTGAATATTGAATTGTTTTTTTAAATATTATAATGCTTATTTTATAATACTTATAACATAAGTATATATAGTATATATAATATACTTATATATATTATAATATACTATATAATATACTTAAATTTGAACTCATTCCATAGATTGGGCCATATGACCGTTGATTTTTCTAAAGAACCATTTTTAAAGGATGTATTATAAGATCTATATAAACTGTTGGTTAGAGAGGGTTCTTCTATTGTTATGAACACCTAAAAGTGTTCTCCTATTGTTATGAGAACCAAAATGGTTCTTCTATTGTTATGAGCACCAAAAAAGATTTTCCTATTGTTATGAAAACCAAAAATGGTTCTTCTTTTGTTATGAGTACCAAAATGGTTCTTCTATTGTTATGAGCACCAAAAAGGGTTCTTCTGTTGTTATGAGTACCAAAATGGTTCTTCTATTGTTATCAACAGCAAAAAGGATTCTTCTATTGTTATCAACAGCAAAAAGGGTTCTTTAATGGTTATCAACAGCAAAAATAGTTCTTCTATTGTTATGGGTACCAAAAACGGTTCACCTATTGTTATTAGCACCAAAAAGTTTCTCCTATTGTTATGAGCACAAAAAGGGTTCTTCTTTTGTTATGAAGACCAAAAAGAATTCTTCTGTCGTTACGAGCACCACACAGGGTTCTTCTATTGTAAACCTTGTAACAATAAAAGAATACTTTTTGGTGCTATATAGGACCGTTTTCAAAAATCGTATATGTAAAACCATACACAGCACATCCTGCATTAATCTAAAGAACGATTTCACCATACAATTAACCATTTAAGCATAAAAACTCATGGTTCTAAATAGAGTCATTGCCTTTAAGAACCTTTGAAGAACTGTCTTTTTAAAGATTGTAGCACTTTAAAACATTCAAGCATACCAAGTATTTCCTAGCTGGTCGTGTTTAAACAAAGTGCAAGAAGTCTTACAGGCTATGAGGAATATAAGTACAATATAAAAAATTGCAGATATGAATCGTTACAGATATTATTTATCTTTTTGGCAGGTTAGAGATTGACAGGCTACTAGATTAAAGCTGTTATCAGTAAGCAAATAAGAATGACAGTGTTGTTTTGTGAATTATTTCTAGTGCCTGTGTTTGTATTTTCTGTGTGTTGTGGGAAAAAGTGAGGCTGAAAATTCCCATTATGGCTCCATGTTTGTTACTACAACCACAGCCTAATTTCAGTAAATACACGTAAAAGTAATATTTTAAATCACTGTCAGAAATAATTAACACCAGATTGATCTTGCCCTGTTGTTTAAAAATACAATCAATAAACATTTAAACGTAAGAGTACAGAGTACAACTCTGAAAGCCTACGCTCTTCAGCTTTAAAATAGTACAGACTTCATCTCCCATGATGCCTTGCAGCCTGCAGCCCCGCTCCGTAAACAGGCCCCGTTATTGTCCAGCATGGCAGCGGCGCTGTCTAGAGCTCTCAAACTGCCCGGTAAGGCAAAAAGCAAACTTTATTTTTTATGAGCTTATTATTTTTTAAGTTGTACAATTAAAGAGGATATTGCTTTTGTTTAGTGTGTTTTTGCTGCAGTACCGTTATAGTTGGCTAAGTTAACCGTTAGGCTGTGGCTTCTCATTACAGTGACGAGGATATATATTATTCAGCACACTGTAGGAGGTTTACATCCTATGTTTTTATTGTACATTTTTTGCTATATTCTGGGTATTTAAAGGTTTTTATCCACGGTGTGTGGTGAGAACGTTATTTGATTTAGTGCCGTAAGATTATAGCACGTTTGCTGTCATTAATAATCTGCGATGCTCTTAAACTGTGTATGTGTTTGGGTGTGTATTTCTCTCTTTGCAGGGACCAGATGTCCACAGGATGATGAAAAACATGAACGTTTTGATATTCTGTGGGCATTAAATCAATTTCCAGTCCTAAAAACTGCAGCTTTTATTAGAAAAGAATAAAAGATTAGCGTTTGATGGAGTTAGGGTTAGGGTTAAGCAACTGCTAATAGCTAGTAAGCTAGCTAGCTAGGCTGTGTAAGCTAAGGTAGCTATGAATGTGGGGTTCATAAAGCAGCAGTTAATCGAATAACTTAGAAAAGCAGGAGACAGAAGACACATTTTAAAAAAGGACAATCCTTACTTTGGGTGTTTCCAGTTCGCTGGCTAAGTAAGAATTCCTTTGGTCTGTTTATTTTTTAGTTTAATTCATTTTTCAAAATGCTAGTGGTTGCTAATTTTGTGAGATTATTAGGAATTCTTTTCTATTATATTTAGAATTACACACTATATTGTACCTTTCAGTGTATAAACTCTGTCACTGGTGTGGTACATTCAGTGGTCTGTCTTCAGTATCTTTAGTTAGGGACAATTGTACCATATCCCATTAAAGCTATATTTTAAAGTTACATTGACACCGTACACCTTGTTTTGCCTCTAGGCAGTCCAGTCTTATTTTAGTTGTGAAACGGTACAATTGTCCCTTGAAAGTGAATGTAGGATAAAATTCATTAAAGGGCCCGTATGCTATAATTTTCTTGCATTTCATTATTTCCCTTGAGGTCCAGTTATGACATTTGTGTGGTTTTATGCATTAAAAATAGTCATAATTCATTTTTACATGACAATTTTTCAACTTCTCTATTCCTTAAAATTAAACAGACGGTTGTAGTTACTGCTCCTTTAAGACTGATATATGTAAATGAGCTTTGTTTTGATTGGCTCTCCTGTATTGCACTTCATTCAAAAAGCAGTCCCGGCTAAAATACTCCTTATAACTTCAGTGTGAATGGGAGGGGCTTAACTGCTGTAGGCAAATAGGAGGATATATCTAATTGCTTAGCTTTTTCATGAAATGTATGAAACAATGACTTCAAAACAACCTGTTTTTGCAGCTTAGTTTCCATTTGTGGGCTGCATGGGCTGAGGAGTATAAGTACATTTTGAAACTGTACATTGACACTGTTTTCACTTTTTTGGGGGGCTAGAAGACTAGAACTTACCTAGACAGTACCATATTTTCTGATAGTGTAATACACTATCTATTACACTTAAATTAATGCTAGTTAATTGACTGGCCACATGTGGAAATTTAATAAAGAAATCACCCATTCAATCTATTAGTTTGTGTTGGTTAGTTGTATGACTGTGTGCCTGCAATACTGGCCCTGCAATAATGTGAATAAACATCTCAGTGAACCAACACTGCAGCATATTTACCCCATATTTACCCAAAACACACATACACTGAGGTGCGCAGAAATCTAGGCACACTAAGGTACACAGAAATCCAGGTCCGAGCAGGCTGTCAGCACATTTAAACACGTCACAGCCTTGATTTTAGTGTTTGCAGTTTAGGTAAAGGCTTTGAGGGCAAGCCTATAATTATACATTTTGTTTTACTTTAATATTTATATGGAATTACATTATTATTTACAGTGTTTGTTGTATAATACTGACGTTAACTTTTGATTTATATTCTGTATCAATTGGTTCAATGTCTATTTTTGAATAAATAAAAAAAAAATTGCCGACCATTAATGAGACTTCTAAGGGTCAGCGTTCTCTTGTGGGAATTTCCCTGCTTGCTGGAACAATAAGCCCAGCTTTGAAAGTACTGAAGATCCAGTTAATAAAATGTGTGAGGGTTTAATAGCAGTTTGGTTGTAACATGTTTGGAAAGCAGCTGCTGTTTCTCATGCTCTAGTACCGAAGTGCTTGGAGCTTTATTGCAATGAAATTCATTGTATAAATGAGAATCACTTATATAACAATTCTATCTATATTTTATTATATTTTGAGTAATATGGTGTTCGACACTTGCAACAGCAATGAGAAAAGAGAGTGTAATGGGTAGATTACTTTTAAGGAAATAAAAATGACTTATAATAGATGATAATCATAATAGTTATTTCATCTTGCATAAATTGGTAACTTTTTTGGTGATTTAAGATTTAGATAGGCTTACATTTAAAAGGGAATTTTTCAACACTTCTACATAATTCTACTACTAAAATGAAAAACAAAGTCATTTATGGTGGTAATTTCAGCTTCTTGCTGTCATTAGTGCATATGAAACATGATGCAACTGTCTCAACCTGCTTTTTTGGAGACCCAAACAAATTTCTACTTGGATTTTTTTGCTTTATGCACCTGCAGTAAATATATAAAATAGTGGTAAATGTTGTTTGGGGACTATTCTGCCTTACAACACCCTGCAGGTACCTTTCTGCCATGAAAGGATTAAAAAATACGTTTAGGCCAAAATTTTGTCTTACAACTAGTGTAAAACAATGCCTCACTCATTAGGCAGCATATACATAACCATTTCATATAACTTTCTGTGATGTGACTTTTAGATGCATTAAACTCTTCAGACATCTGGTTCCCATCACCACCATTGTGAACCATTTTGAAGTTTCTCTAGAATGCAGCGTTTCACATAAAACCACTCTGAATGACTTTGTTTACTTCTTAAACATTTAATTGGATTTTTGAAAAATCAATGAACTTTTTTAATAGTTACAGTTATGTTTAGGAGTGGATGTAGGCTCATGGTAAGCCACTCCTCGCTGCTCCACTCTTCTTCATGGTTTTGGGTTAACAGCTGCTGGTCATAATCATGGGCGTAATAATGTTAGCTAACTTACTAATAGTGTGGTAGAAATGATAGCTAGCTAACACAGCTAGCTACACTCATCAGATGAAGAACAAAGGCAGCACCTAACCAGCATTAGCAAGGTAGCAAGTATAACTCAATGAAAGTGTGATAGCTGCCTAAGTCTAAAATCACCTGGGTTTATCATTTCAGGCATACTTACTATGCCAAATGCAAATGAACCGTTGATGTATATGGAGGAGATGCAGTATAGCTATTTTCCCAGGGCATTATGTTGAGTTATGAAAGGTCATACACGGTTCAGCAACAAGCAGATTTTTCAATAGGAGTGCTCTTGCCCTCAGCTAGGCCTCAGTAATGCAAACTGTTTTTTGAGAAGTCAGAGTGTAGCATTCATAAACTTTGCAAATAATTCCTTTGGTTTAAGCGTGGTGCACTGACCTTATTTTTTGTTGTTGCTAGAAATGTAGCCCATGTCTTGTTACTAGCCAGTTAGCAGAGCTTCATCAGTAATATCAATTTAGATTAAAGTAAATGACAATTTTGAACGTAGCAAACCAAATGTCATAGTTTTGAAATATTAAGCAATGGACAAAATGGATGTTGCATTAAATAGCAATGATTTCTTGGCAAGTTCTACTCCTGAAGTCTATATTTATGTTGACCCAGTTCCTCACTGCTCCAAGGGGTCTTTTGAGGTAATACTGCGATGGAGTGGTTCTAATGATGGCATTGGAATTTTCCTTCGAAGAAACAGTGAGACAGGTATATGAGGGCATGTTATTGAAATGGGGATAGATATTAGAAAGCATCTATTAGAAAGAATCTATTAGAAAGCAGCAAGCCCATAATCCGGATATCATGTGTTGAACATGTGTGTTTGTAATGTTTGTAATGAGTTTTTGATGTTAGTCTTATTTTTCATGTTAAAGAAACATGATTGAGGCAACATGGGGCTGAAACACAAGACCATGGGAACATAGAGAAGTTTACTAGAAAATTTAATATAGGTTCCTATATAGTGCTATTTCCAAAATACAAAGAAGGAACAAAGCACTTCCAGCCCATAGGACCCTTTTTAAGCTTTCAAAAATTCAATGAGCCAATTTTGTTTTCCAGAGATAAGCTGCTGAAAAGTCATTAGTCTAATATCTGGTATTTTTACTCTGTGTGGGTTTTTTAGGTAAGAAGAGCTCAGAGCTGGGTGAGTATGACCCCCTGACACAGGCAGACAGTGAAGATGACAGTGAGGAGGATGACCTCGTGCTTAATTACCCCCGCAACGGGCTGGGTCGGGGCAGCTGCCTGGGGCCAGGGGCAACAGACCCACGAGGCAGCAGGACAAGACTGGGGGAGGAGGAGGAGCTGGAGGAAGAGGAAGAGGAAGAAGAGAGGGGAGGAGGGCGGGGCATGGGGACAGGGCTGAGGCAGGACGGGACAGGAGGAGGGGCAGGACCAGGGCAGGTGGGGGATACAGAGGGTAAGAAGGCAAGGGCGCGAGGTGCCGCCCGAACCGCAGCGTTTCTTTTGCCCCTTGCCTGTGCCACACTGACTGTGCTGCTGTGTGCATTCCTGGTGCCCTGCAGGCAGGGGGCACTACAACAGCACCCGCAGTGGGAGACCCAGTCAGGGGACGTGGGAGGTGAGTGGACTAAGCATAGCTTTATATGTATGTATGTATGCAAGTAATAACTTATTTGCTCCCATGAGAGTTCTAGTGAGGAAAACTGACAATCAGTGTCTTCTGGGTTGAACAGACACTATCATAATTCAGAGGACCCAGTGACATTTGGTGGGAAATTGTATGCATGTTATGATTCCTACCATATAATGACCCCTACTTTAGAGGTCTATAAAGCTTTTGTGCAACAGTGCAATTTATTAATCGTTAGTTTTTTGTACTTATATAATGACTAGCAGCATTTTAATAAACATGCTGTGGCCTTACTATGTTTTTGTCTTTGATAATTACCCTGCTAGAAAGCTAGCATAGACCAGCTCTTAGCCAGAAAAATTAGCAAATGTTGTCTTTTGGATGCTGGTCTGCTGGTCAGCAGCAATGAAAGCTGCTATGCTGATTACCACCAAAACCAGCATATGTTGTCTTTTGATTGCTGGTAGACATGGTCAGCTGGGTGACCAGCCAAACCAGCACAAGACCAGCATAAACCAGCTGTTTTTTCAGCAGTGTAGCTAACTGATGTTTGCTTACATTAACAATATTTATCATACAGTTAGCTAGCAAGCATAGCTAAGCATGTGTGTTTTGGAGCTCTGTATTCAAACACACTAGCCAGAAGCAGTTCTCTAATTTTTTTTTCCTCTTTTTTTACGTGGTGTAGTTTCAACACTGAAAATAGCTAACTAACTGACTAGCTATTTTGCTGGTTTTTGCTGTTGAGGCACATAAGAGAATAGTGCTGTGAATGCTGACTAACTTGAACTTTGAACAAATGTCACCGAAAGCAATTGTTCAAAGTTCAAGACTTTGCTGCTAATATTGTATTGAGGAATGGAATGATGTAAACACTGTATTGAGCTTACGTAAAATGTGCATCATTAATATCAAAAAAGTTTGATTTTATTAGAATTTCTGTTTTATCACATAGTTCTAGCAGTGACTGACTTCATGCTGACCCAGTGTTAGTAACTCGCTGATCCTACCACTAGCACCAGCATAGACAAAGCCTCTAAAGCTAGAGTCATGAGATTGTTTTGGGGATTTCTGGCTCAGCAGCATTTATTCTACCAACTCAAACTGACAGTGAAATAAAAGCTTTAATGCTGTAAAGCTCTCACAGCTCATGCTTTCTATGTGGTTAAACTTGAAAAGTCCTGAAGTCTCCTCATTCAATACCAGAGAGATGGTTGTGTTCTGTTTTACAATGATAGGAGTAAACAAGATTATTCTTAAAGACTGGAATGATCAGTTTCACATAATTTGGCTTCTACTATAAACAGCCATTGCATACTGAAGTATGGTAATCTTTAGAATAAAAACCTGCACAGTGAAAGTGAATGAGTGAACTGATATTATATTCTGTAACATCTGACTGTGACTCTTACAGGTGTGACATCACCTCCTCTAGCATTATGGGATGTTGATGGTGATGGAATGGAAGATTTACTCATCGCAGTCACCAAAATCTCCAACAGCAGCCAGCCAATCGGTTCCCTAGGCACCAGTAAAGGTACCACACATACACTGTTGAGAGAAAAGAAGAGAGAGACGAAGAGAGAGAGAGAGAGAAAGAGAGAAGCCAAACAAAATCCTTTCACTGTATACACCAGAGGCCTCATTTATAAATTGTACTTGAATTTGATTTAATACATGCATGCAATTGATTTATAAAACACTATATGCCTATTACACACTGGCATGCCTGTTCATATGTCAGGTTGGGAACTTCATATCCACATTTTCGCATTAAATTCACATTTTATAAATCTTAAAAGGTCTTTTTATTGTTTTTAGACAATACAAATAAAAAAAGAAATTTGAGAGAACAAACAAAAACCCTCCCAACAACACACAATCTATGCTGCACCACTGTACCATAAAAGGTCATTCAACTAGTATACACTATATATATATATATATATATATATATATATATATACATAGAAACACATTCACAGATATGAAAACACAGAATTATATAATACAGTGAGAAGAAAAGTGACGTTGATTAAAAAGGAAATAAAAAACAAACAAATAAATAAATAATTTCAATTGTTTTCTACATATGCAAAGACAGGTTGCCAGGTCTTATAGAACTTATGACCACAACCAGTCACAGAGTAACAAACTTTTTCTAGACTCACGTAATGCATTAAATCCCTTATCCAGTATTTGAAGGTGGGTGGGAACTCATCCTTCCATTTCAGTAGAATAAGCTGCCTGGCTAAGAGAATGGCAAAACAATCGCCCTTTTGGCAGGGTTATCCATGTGAGACTCCTGTAAAGTCACTCCAAATATTGCTGTAATAGGAAATGGCATCAATGATCTCTCAAAGACACTTGAGAGGAAAGCAAATATTGACTGCCAAAATATAGTTAATTTTGGACAGGACCAAAACATATGAGAGAGAGTGGCTGGTTCTATTTTACACCTGTCACACATAGGATCAACACTCAGAGTAAATTTAGTCAGCCTAACCTTGGACCAATGTAGACGATGGACTGTTTTAAACTGGATGATGGTGTGCCTTAAACAAATTGAAGAGGAGTGTATTCCATCCAAAATATCTTGCCACATCTCCGTTGATATCTGTGTGTCAAGTTCCTCCTCCCGGTGTTGTTTCAATAAAGTTAGAGGCTTCAAATTATATGAATTAAGCAGAGATTCCCCCCCATCAATGCCTTTCTTAGACTGTGGGCTGGTTTTCAATATGATATCTAAAAAGGAGTTTGGAAATAGCTTGATGATATAAAACTACGAAGCTGTAGGTATCTAAAAAAATGTGATTGAGGAATATTAAAATGTGTTCTAAGTTGCTCAAAAGATATAAAAGTATCCTCAACAAACAGGTCTTTAACTATTCTGATTCCTGTCTCAACCCAACATTTGAAGGCACTGTCGGCAACAGAGGGGATACACATATTATTTTTCGTTAATGGGCTGTAAATAGAAAATTTGTTAAGTACATTTTATAAATTTTGACGTAAACATAAACATTTGCATACAATCATTTTAACATCAAGTCTTTACAACTGGTCCTTTCATAAATGAGAGCATTTTGGTAACCCAGAGCTGCCCAAAGTTGGCCAAAGTGGACTTTTGATTTGGCCCACCAGAAAGTTACCTTAACTCCACCACTCAGTGAGAGAACAAACATATTTTATACTACATATAACTTTATAAATATAACTATATAAATTCTTAATTATTTTGTATTCTTAAATTGTATTTATAGTACCAGAATATAGTGTCATTTTATAAAATACATTTTTGAAAAAACTCTATTTGAAACCTACCTACTTTCTTTATTTGTATATTGTTTTGTCATTTTTGCCCTTGGCCCACCACAAACATTGCACTTTGGCCCCCAAAAAGTTGGCACCGCAAGCTGTTCCATGTTTGTTTAATTGCGCAGAGATGTTATAAATGAGGAGACCGGTCACTGGTTGAAATATGAATGGGAAAGATTGTAACGCTCAACACGGCGTCTGTTCATGGAGAAGGTTCTGCCCTTCAATAAAAAGAGCCAATCAGCTCGTTTGTTATGCCACAGGTTACTGCTGGTTCCGAAGGGTTGACCATAGATGGGTTTGCTGTCTATAAACATTACTGTGTACGCGCTGCCAGGGGGCAAAACCACTTCAGTAACTTAGAGAGTCACAAGATAATGCTAGTCAACTGTTGTAACTGACATTGTCATTGTTTGTAAATTCTTGTCGACTCAAATATAAAAAATGCCATTTCTGAGTTGAATCTGTTTGTTTGTCTGTCTTTATGTAAAATGTTAGCTAACAATAGTTAACTATCAATATTGGCTAGTTATCAGGGGCCGTATTACAGAAACTTCCTAGGTCAAGATAAGATTCGTATTACAGAAGCAAATCTTAATCTAGGAATCTTATCTTACAGCTTCTTAAAGACTTAATTGAAGTCGACAATCAACTGTCATGCCTTTTACCTAGCAACCAAAGTGCAGTTAGAACAGAATTTAGGAAATGTTGTCTAGTTAGGATGTTTCTATAATGCTGTTTTCTTATATTTGGAGTTAGGATAAGATTATAAACTTAAGGACTGTTGTTCTGTAATAGCTTCTATCCTAAATTCAGTCCTAATTGAAGTTGGTGACTAAGCAGATAAGATAAGATTTCAGACTTAAGAAGTTTCTGTAATACAGGTCATCTATGGTTGAAATAACTGCCTGGTGTTGCAAAGATGGCAGCTGGGTGAACAGACGTTCCTATAAGGACTTTTTTGCGTTGCCTAGTAACAGGAGAATGTGTGAGTTTGCGCAGGTTTGGTTCTGCAACTACATAAAGTTGTGTAGTGTGTGATCCTCAATATTTTAGTCACCCAGAATAATCTGCAGAAACCAGTCGGATCGCAGAACATAGTCTGTTTATAGTCTGTTAGGACTTTAAAAGTTGTGTCTTGTATCCAAGGCTTAAGAAAGACAGAGAGAGGAGTGAAGAGAAAAAGGCAGAATTTACACGCTAATATTATGTTTTTAACAGTTAGGTTTTGCAGTTTAAAAAACACATTCGCAATGCAATGTTATTGTCTATTGTTATTATTACTATTATTGTTATTATTATTGTTATTGTTATTATTATTGTTATTGTTATTTTTATTATTATTACTGTTATTATTATTAATGTGTCGTGAAATAATAGTCCAGCTAAACTAATATTAACGTTAGCCATCTCGGTGAATCATAACACTGGTAATGTTACTTCAGTAAAAGTCAGTAAAATAATTGCGAACAATGTTTACACTGGAAGTTTACTTTTGGAGTTTTTATGCACCCCTGGGGGAGGTGCTGGTAGGGGGAAAGTCAGGGTGTGGGCCTGCCACTGCTGCTCAAATATTTCTAGATATAACTGCATACAAGTATGCAAGCAAAAGTGCTATAGGCCTTACTGTAGCCAAACCCTCTTTGGTCTGTGTTTCTCTGTTAGAGTCATTCTTGCACTTCAGCTGGATACTGATTACACCTTATCATTACCTGTGTATGTGTGAGCATGTGTGTGATCTGCTACAGTTTAGTGACTGCAGCCCAGTATTAGCTAATCCTTCTCTCTCCCTCCTTTTCTCTCCCAATTCAAAAATTATTTATTTGGCGAGACCGTTAACTTACATTGTTACCAAAGCAGTTAAATATATTTATCATACATGAATCTATTAATCAGTCAATACACACACAAGTAGCTTGCACATAGGCTTATAAACAGTACATACACCAACCAGCCACTTCCTTGTTCCTACACTCATTGTCCATGTTATCAGGTCCACTTAACGCACAGGTGCACTTTATAGTTCTACAATTAGAGACAATAGTCCATCTGGTTCACTGCATACTTTGCTAGCCCCCTTTAACCCAGGATCCCCACAGAGTATTATTTGGGTTTGTGTTAGTCATCCTCTGCTCCTTCATAGGTAGTCACAGTATGCTGCCCATAGGACGCTGGTGACTGGATAGTTTTAGTTGGTGGACTATACTCAGTCCAGCAGTGACAGTCATTAGTCTGCGGACGGCTCCATGGCGCTCTCAGGCAAGAAGAAAGGCGGCGGAATCGGCTTTTATATCAAACAAGGCTGGTGTACAGATGTCACAGTGTTAACGAAAACATGCAGTCCTAACTTGGAATCACTTTTTATAAACTGCAAACTTCTTGCAGACCAGATCACTAGAGTGGAGCTCAAACACACAGACTCTGTTTTTATCATTTTAGGGACTTCAACAGAGCACAACTCACCAGCAAACTGCCTAACTACAGACAGCATGTTACCTGCCCCACCAGGCAGAGTAATATTTTAGATCACTGCTGCACTGTGTTAAAGGGGGCCTATCGCTTTGTTCCCCGTGCTGCTCTGGGCCTGTCCGATCACTCGCTAATCCATCTCCTTCCAACCTGATGAAACTACAGTCATTGGTCTCATCCGAGATGGTGACGAGTCTGCTTACAGACGGGTGGTTGATCAGGTGGTCCTTTGGAGCAGCCACAACAACCTGGTGCTGAATACAACAAAAACAGTGGAGATGACAGTGGACTTCAGAAGGAGCCCTCCACCACAGTTCTGTCCAGGATGGTGAGTGCTGGCAGTGAAGTCCTGCAAGTTCCTGGGCACAACAATCACCAGGGACCTGAAGTGGGACAGCAACATCAGCTCCATCATCAAGAGAGCCCAGCAGAGGATGTACTTCCTGCGTCAGCTGAGGAAGTTCAATATGCCCCAGGAGCTGATGGTGCGTCATAGAGTCTGTCATCACCACGTCCATCACAGTGTGGGGTAACTCAGCCACCAAGCACGACCTCCACAGACTGCATCAGGTCTGCAGAGAGGACAGTTGGGGTTAAGTTGCCCACATTGCTGGAACTGCATGCCTCCAGAACCAGGAAGTGTGCAGAGAAAATCTCTACTGACTCGTCACACCCCAGACACCACCTGTTCCAGCTCCTTCCCTCAGGTCAGCGCTTCAGCCAGATGAGGATCAGGATATCCAGGCAACAGAGAAGCTTCTTCCCACAAGCCATTACTCTCTTAAACAGTTAATAATTACACATAAACAATATTCCAGCTTCTAAACTGCACTTCTAAATATACTGGTATATAGTATCACACTCAACTCTAGCACCTTACTTATCTGCCTTATTACCCCACTTATCTGACTGTTCCCTCACTTACCCCTTTCTTTGCAACTGTACACCCTTTAACTGCTGCTGCACCCAGCACTTTAACTTAAAGACACATACTTTGCACAATGTAAAGGATACAGGTGTGACTTTGTGTTAAATAGACATTTAACTCAAATTATGCAAAGAAACAGATGGATTACACTCTGTAATAGTACGTGGTACTCTTACAGACACAAGTATAATGAAATGGTACATATACACACACATATGTGCATATGAATACGTATATATTATATACCATTTAGGTGCAGGTCTGACCAGATAAGGCACTTTATTAAGTAAAAAGAAGTGAACATAACCGCTCCAAAAAACATTTTGTTAACACAGGAGTTGTGGTTCATCATTCTAATGTGCAGCGTTGCTTGCACAAACATGATCTGCATGTAAGAGCCATCAGAATGAAACCATACTTTCAATCTCATCACAATGGTCAGCGTCTGAAGTACGCAAAACAACATCTAGATAAGTCAGAGGCAATTTGGAAACTTAAAGATATTGATGAATGAGGCCCAGTGTTATTTTTTAAAATAATAGTAGTTCTCTTTCTCTATCTTTCTCTCTCTGTAGAGTACAGTGTAGTAGCTCTGCGTGGAGTGAGTGGGGATATGATATGGAGTCAATCTGTGAAGGAGCCTGTGTTCTCCATTCAGTGTGGCCTGCAAACCGCTGCTGCCGAAGATTCTGCTGCACAGAGAGAGAATCCTCCACCTGTGTGTCTCCTCATCACTCCATCATGCCTCACTGCCGTCAACGCGTCCTCAGGTAACACACCCAATACTCACTGGCCACTTTGTACGCAACTTCTCCTTTATACTTGCACTCACCTTCACTATCCAGCCAAGAGCTGCTGTCTGGTCAGAAACTGACCATTGATAAAGGGCTAGAGGATGGCTTGTTAATTAGCAATTGAATTTAATCTACCATTAATGCATTGTTTGGTCATTGGTTCAGGTAAGAAGCTGTGGAAAGTTCAGGCAGGGGAGGTGGAGTCTCGGGCTGTGGCTGTTCCTAACCTTCAGGGAGACGCAGTTCCAGACCTGCTGATCGCTACTCTACCTGCAGACCAGGTAAAATCACACACACATGCACACACACACACACACACACACACACACACCTTATGATATTATGAGGGCTTTTTTGATGACGTTTCTGTGTCTTTGTGTTACTGAATTTCAGAATTCAGATCTCTCTCTAGTTCTGCACTCAGGGTTGGACGGCTCTCTGATTGGTCAGCCAGTGAACTTTACCCTCACAGCACAGGGAAAGCTCATTGGTCCATTGCTGCACGAGACGGCAGCAGGAGCGTATTACATCCTATTTGGTTTAGGTAAAAGTGGCATAACCCCCCCACCCCACCCCCCCATCTCACTCAGGAACTACACACTGCTACATACAACAGTTTGATTTTGTTTAGCCCTGTTGTCATTTGAAGAATACTTTTAGCTTTAGCTGGCCAAGGTACAGTAGTTTGCCAAATTAAAATTATAGATCTCATACTTGAATGTAGTTGATCAGCCAAGATGTTTGGTCATGTTTTAGACATGTACTGGAGCTAGGAGGCTAAAGTAGCTAACACTAAAAGGCATCAGTTTAGTATCATAATTTTTTTCATTGCCATATTTATAGTTAATAGTATGTCATACAGCAGGGGTGCCACATTCTGGTCCTGGAGATCTACAACCCCGGAGAATTCATATTTAACACACCTAGACCTGATATACAGATGCCCCTGAATGCCTTAATTACATGGATCAGTTGTGTTAAGGACTGGAGCTAAACTCTGCAAACTGGTGGATCTCCAGGACCAGGATAGGATAGGCACTCCTGTGCTACAGTGTCAGAAACCACATAAGCAAATCTAATTGGGATTAATTAACTCCACACCTGCAGTTTGCAGTCTGTTAATTGGTATGCTTATGTTACTTTATGGTACGCTTTCATGTGATGAGCCACAACAAAACATAAATGTGGCAAAGCACATTGCAAGAAGAAGACTACATTAAAGTGTCTCAGTGTGAGTGGCGACTGTTATGTGATCTGTGATTTCAATGCTAACGTGCTAGCATTTTGTTTGTGTACAGGCACTGTAGAGGCTGTCTCTCTGAGGGATATTTACAGAAAGGCAACAGGCCGGATAACACTGCCCCCCAGCCTTAGCCTGAGGGATCCCCTCTGGGAGAAGCAGAGGAAGACCAACCAGTCCATTCTACACATCTACAGGTTAATATCACACAAACACTCACACAAATGTATCACTACACTGAAACTGTAGCAAAACTGACCCTTAACCTAACCAGGTTTTTCCATGCAGATTCCCATCACTGATGAAAAGAGTTTCCAGTTTTCATCAGTGACATCCAGTTAGAGCAACAGCGGCTGCATGCTCCAACTACTGAGTGTACATATCATGTATAGATCATATATATTGTCCAACTGCTTCATAATTGTAGCTTCTCACTCTCATTCATACAGCTTGTGGATTCTTGTTTACAATGAAGGCTCTTGAGGAGAAGTTTTCCACATTGCGGTTGCTTTTATTGGTTTGTGGCTTGTTGATTTATCCCTACGTCTCCTGCACTGTCAAGTGTAGTCTGTTGAAGGTGCTGAAAGTATCACTCTAAAAGTTACTTAAAGGCTGGGCTACAGTCACAGATTCTGTCATAGCAACACACAGCACAAGTGCAGCTGGGCTTCAGCCTGGACTGCTTGACTTAAGGGTCAAACTAGGAAGATGCATTAACAGTGTAAAAAATTGCGCCGTTAATCATTTATCATGTTAACATCTTTTTTGACAAACCTAAAAATCAAAGTTCAGTCGTACAAGTTGGTTGCACTTTCTGCTTCTCAAAATAATCCTAGTTACAAATTCAGACTTATCAGCCCGTAAAACTTTACTCCACATTTCAGATGTCCAGTTTTGTTTTTCTTTTTTGCACTAACTGAGTCGAGTTATGTTCTCACAGTAGAGGGATAGAGTGAACACTATAGGATTTTTTTCAGATCTAATAATTATGTCCTTTCTCTCAAAGATGAAAGAATTAAGTACTGTTTATTTGATGGGGACAGTTTTGGTGAGACATATCTGTTGAAAAACTTTTATAATGATTTTATTAAATGATCACAGGGTGGTCTTTGGCGTTTGAACAGTATTGTGTGTATCAAAGACCACCCTGTGATCATTTAATAAAATCATAATAAAAGTGTGTATATATATATATATATATATATATATATATATATATATATATATATATATATATATAATACATACATAAATAAATGGATTCTATAAATAAAATGCATGCCTTCCATATTTTCTCTTTCAGTGGTTCTGAGCCAGCTGAGTATTTGCTGCCTCTGGTGGCTGGAGTGTGTAATAACCATAACAACCTAGATCCTCTGTCTAACCGTAACTCCAGCCGCAGTGACTGGGTGTTGCTTAACTCTAACAGCAGGATCTCCATTATCAGAGAGAGAGACACTCACACTGCCTGGAAAGTCAACTCTTCCGCCATACACAGGTATCACTGGGAGTGTGTGTGAGGGACGGAATGTTTGTGTGTTAGTGAATGAGTGAAAGATTGCACTCCCTATGTTTCTATGCAAAGAATTTTTTTTGTGGAAAACATTTTAATGCTTAGGAGCATAATGCATTTACATATAAATGTAGTGTTATGACAGATTCACCTCACGTGCCTCTTACACAAACAGCATGGCAGAGAGGAGTGGCTGGACTGAAGAGGGAACAAGAGTATTTGTAAATGGATTACTGCAACTTTTTTATCACTTACAGAGAGATGTATGTCAGAGAAACTTGATCTCTTATGTAATGGTTCTGATTAAAAAAAACAGAACAGTGGTGTCCTTATTCTTATTCTTAGTGCACGTTTTTAGATACTAAACACCTTCTTGACTTGCTTGTACTTCACTCACATGCTCACTCATTGACTCATGTTTAACAAGATTGTCCACACAAATATGTACACACAATTATTCACCAGTACACTATACACAAACTCTTACACAGTAACACACCTGGAGAGACTAACACTTCATACAGTAAAATATTTCAGAAGAGTTTGGGAGCGCTTGTGAACTTGTAGAAGGTACTGGATATTGATAACAATTAATGACTAGAAACTTGTGCAGAAATGTGCAGAAAGTACTGGACATTAATTAACGGTATCGACTATGGGTAGAAAAAGGGCTGGGAACGTGCCGAAAGTACCGAACATTGATAAAAGGTATCGATTATGGGTAGAGAATGAGTTTGTGGAGGAAGTGTAAAAAAAAACAAAGAACACTTTTGTGGTTGGGGCATGGACATGTCCTTTGAACCATACCTGAGCCGCTGTCTGTCTCTGTAGCCGTCCTGCTATTGGTCATTTTAATGATGATGGAGTTCCTGACCTGCTCATCCAACAATCTGCCAATGGAGTTCGAAAGGTAATACACAATTCCACCTGATACACACACCTTTACTTGCTTATACACATACTTTCACACACTAATACACTTCTCCACCTGCTCCTCTCTCTCACTCTCTCTCTATATCTCAGATTCAGATTATTGATGGAGCTCGTGGTGTGTGTGTGTGGGAGGCAGAGTTTGTGTGTCCTCGTCTTGTTCTGGAAGGTTCCTCCATTTTGACCACAGACGGCCAGTCTGTGTTTCTGTTCTGGGCTGGAGACCCTCTGCCCCCCTCCAGGAATGCTACCAAGGCAAGACTCTCTAATGTACTTTACAACTGGGATAGGTTTTCTGGACATATGTTTGTGTAGTAATGTTGCCAAAGAACATCTATAGTGTTCATGGCTCTCCTTTTAGCCAACAGAAAAAATATAACAGCAAAGTTCACTATTATACAACATAAAAATAATGGAAAACTAAGCTACCTATATCAGAACTGCAAGCACATTTTTACGCTCTGTGAGGCTGAACAAAGACACTCAGTTGCACTGGTGCAATGTCCTGCTCTTATGAAGCGTCAAAAGCTATCTGTCTGCTAATGGCAGCTTTTGTGAAGAATATGTAGCCTGCAAACCATGACTGATTTCCGTGAGTCTTTAAAACAGTCAGAATTCCCTAAACAGCTTTTTGTATTTGTGTTACAAACATGAATAAATATATATTTTTGTTTTTAATACAGGCCTACAAAAATAAATAATAAATACATACATATATATATATTTAATTCCTTAAAAAGCTTTTTATGATGCAGATTTGCTGTGACAGCAGCTGTTACCACTTCATAATTTTACCATACAGTTTATGCATTTAACAGACAACACTCAGCACATTTTTATAGGCAAGTAGTTCAGGACAGAGTAGTTTTTGAGCTGTGCACATGTGGACTTTTAACTGAAAAGTTATTTTCTCTCCAAATGGGAGAACAGACTTCAAGCCCAGTGCAGTAATTACATCACTCTGGCCCTTAGATCTATTACATCTAAGTGCCACAGTAATTAGATATATTCTGTCTTCATAGCCCTTATTAGGGTTTTTATCATGGAACATCATATCAAAATTTGCTTGCTTTGACATTTATTATAATCGTTAATAGTAGCCTGTGTTGGAATAACGTCATTATATTAAAATTTTGAGAATAGCACCAGGGTTGGGTAGTAACTGAATACATAATCGGGATACAAAAAAGGTAACTGTAATCTGTTACAATTACAGTAAAAATACAGTAATCAGATTACAGGTAAATCATAAAAACAGGGTGATTCAAATATTTTTTTAAATTCAAAAACAGGTTGGTTCCTTCATTCAAATGCAAACTCGTTGTCTTTCACTAAAAGTGGCTGTTTTAATGATAAATGTGCTGCAAGAGTCATGTAGATTTAAAGAAATTTTAATTTGGGGGGAAGGGGGAAAAAGGTGCTGCTGCCAGGACAGAATTCAGAAGAACCCCCTCACAGCAGCAGTTCAGTGTTTTATTCAGCCAATCTATAGAAATTTTAGTAAGCATTTTTATTTTTAGTGTCAGAACTGAGATCTGCAGTGTTTTCCTGAAGATAACTGAATCAGGTGTTTACCCTGATCTTCCACACTGCCAGATTCTTCAGCAGTAGACTGATCTGATCTGATTTGGCAGTGAACTCTTTATTCTCATATGTTGCTCTGTGAAATTCTACAATTTGACTGATTATAAATCAAACCTTTGATAGCCTTAACCTGACATGTTTGAACTAACAGTGTGAAACATGAACAGAAAGCGAAGTCTCGTGAGTGTTAAACTTTAATTTTCACATGCATGGTTGCTTTCTTTCTTCTGTAATTTTTGAATGATGAGTGAAAAATGTTAATGTATGTAAATAATCATTATTTCTAACTGAAATGATCAGCTCCTGCTTAATTTTCGTGTGAAATTAATGTCTTTTTAAACTCGTAGAACACGTTGATCTTTATGAGCTGCTGAAACTGCTGAGAGCTGCTTAGGGAGTGTCTTTAAATCAGAGCACCACACACCAATATGGAACCTCATGAGGCAGTACAACCTTTAAAAAGATAGAACAAATAAGGCAAATAAGGAAAAGTCCCAGGAGAAGAGTATAGTTTTAACAACATTGCATTTGATATAATGTACAGGATCAATCTATAGTGATTACTTGTTTCCCTGTGTTATAAACTAAGAGCTTTTAGTCTCCGAGGACTGATATCACATTTTTTTTCTTAGGGAGCAAAGCTTGATTTCTGTACTTGAAGCTTTGAGTATACATGTCTGAACTTAAACAAATTATACTGTTACAGAAATTTGTCATCTTTATGTTTTAAATATTTCCATATATTGCTCCACTTAGGTTTGGCCATTCTGCTAAATGTGAGAGCAGTGACCGTTTCTGTAAAATATTTAGTATCACAGAAATTGAAGTCAATATTTAAGTCACCTGTAATCTATCATTTTGATTTATAAAGCAGTACAATTTTTGTGTTTGACCTGTGTTAAGTTAAATTCCTGTTAAAAAGTCCTGAAATTATTTTTCTTTTTTTTTATTTAATTACAGATGTTTAATTAATTAAAGACAAGTAATCTAAAAGTAACAGATAATAGACAGATTACATTACTTTAATATAATAATCCTTTGGATTAGATTACAATTATATTTTTAACAGGTAATCAGTAATCTGTAATGGAATACATTTTTAAAGGCACCCTCCCAACCCTGAAAAGCCCACATGAACACCACCACGATGTTGTAATTACTCATTGGAAACCTTTTTATGAGCCTGATGTTTTGAGGTGGTTGTGTAATTTACAAAAGGTCATGGTGGCTGCTCACAGCCCTTTTTAATTCCAAACAAACCACTTGAAGACATATTATGGCATACTAAAAAAACTTCACCTATTAGTAGGAACTTTGAGGAGAACTTTAATGCAGCATTAGTATGAGACACATTCATAGTGTGTACACAGGTTTTATCTATTGTTACAGTTGGCAGATGAAAGCAGAAGTGTAACATTTATTTTAAAAAATCAGTTAATGAAAGTAAGTTAGCTTCCTTTCGACTTTCATCACATGACTGTCCACTTTGAAAAATCTAAAGTTGTGCAACCCTTGTGCAGAATGTTTAATGGTCTCATTACTGTGTTTATTTGTGTTTTCCATGTAACAGTTGAGTACATCTGAGCCGGTTCTCCGCAGGCTTTTCCTTCTGCACCCGTCATATCCCACAATCCTACAGCAGCTCATCAGCACCACAGACACAGCGCTAACAGCTACAGGTAACACATACACTCACTAAACACAACAGCTTGACTCCATGACCTAAAAAATATGTTTTGTTTTTGTTATTTAGAAAAGTCATCTGTAACCTAAAAGATTACTATGTTGAAAAAATACAATATGATTTCGTTTCTGTTACGTCTGAAAGATTATTTTTTATTGCAAACAAGAAATGTTCATGAAAGAATATTATATATTACAGATGACAAATAGTTGTCTGTCTCAACTATGCACACCTGACGTAACAAACAATTATGTACACATTAGGGCACCCCTGTCCTACTTACATATTTTTGGTTTTTGAAGAGAAAATAATTAAACACAACCTTTGCAGCACACTTTTTAAAACAATAACATTTTTCTGCAAAAGTTAATGCAATTACATTTTTCTGCAAATTTTAATGCACTCTTACTTTATATTTGATTATCTTGGGCCAAAATTGACTACTTAGGACTCGTTAGGCAGGTCAAGAATTGTGATTAGGAATTGTCAGCTGATTCCAGAATTAAATTCTATGACTTTTGAAACTTTGTTCTAACTCTCAACAACCATGGGCTCCTCTAAGCAGCTGGAGGATCTGAAAATGAAGCTAATTGATGCCTACAAAGCAAGGAGAAAGCTATAGAAAGATATCAAAGTGCTCTAGGCTTGCTATGTCAATAAGAAGTAGCAATTAATGGGAAATGCGGAAGTCAAGGCAAGATGTGGAAGATGTAGAAAACTATTAGAACAGCTTGTATGCTGGCCAGAAAGGCAAAGTAAAACCCCCATTTGACAACAAAGGACCTGCAGGAATGTTTACGTTCAGGAACGTAGTGCAGTTCTACCATACAGTGTTGCTTGAACATACATGATATTCATGGACGAGTTATCAGAAGAAAACCTTACCTGCGGCCTCATCGCAGAACACTGTGGACTAATGAAGTAAAAATGGAGCTCTTTGGCCACAATCACCAAGGGTATGTCTGGAGAAAAAGCGTTTGATGAAAAGAACATCTTGTCAGCTTTTAAGCTTGGTTGATATATTATGCTTTGGGGTTGTGTGGCAACCAGAGGAACTGGAAACATTGCACGGGTAGATGGAAGAATGGATTCCACTAAATATCAGCAAATTCTGGAAGCAAATGTGACACAGTCAGTTAAGAAAGCTGAGAAGAGGCTGACTTCAGGACCACTTTAAGAAATGCAAGCTTTTGGAATGTCCCTCAGAGTATCCAGACTTGAACAACATTGAACATGTAAGGTGTAGATCTTAAACATACTGTGCATGCAAGATGGCCCAAGAATATAGAACTAAAAGCGTTCAGCAAAGAAGACTGGGTGAAAGGTGAAAGTCCTAAAACAAGAATAGAAAAACTCCTTGCTGGCAATAAAAAGCATTAGAAAGCTGTGTTAGTGGCATATTAGTACTTTTAACTAAGCACTGACTTCTTGCCACAATTTAAGTTTATCATATATAAATTAACTGTGTATCCTGTGTATTAATGTTTCAGAAAAACTTTTTGTTGTAATTCAACCAGGAGTGCCCAAATATTTTCATAAAACTTATCTTTTGGTGACTTTATCTTCAAGGTAAAGTTAGCTCCAACTGCAAGTGTTAAGATAGAGGAGAATTTCCAACTATAGACAGAAACACCTTGAGCAGAAATAAATAAACCTCACTCACCGCTGCCCTCTAAAGGTGTTACTGGGCCTGTTATATGTTCCAACTGTTTTCATGAAGAACAATGACCTGGCTTACTTGATGTGCCTTTTGCTTTTTTTTAATTAATTATATTTTAGCTTCATATTTGGAGGGGCCTCAGAATAAATGTGCAAAAAAAGGCTTTACACTCATAAACCTCCACCTCTCTTCTCTTCAGTGAGCTATCAGGAAGTGCATAAGGACGCGTCCTATGTGGTAGTTCTGTCCCGCCCTGTCTCTGGCCTGGGTCCGGGGGCTCAGGTGGTGAAGAGTTTGAGCGTGAGAGCATCTCTGACATCTGCACTGACCGTCCGTCTGGGACAGGACAGTAAAGCTAGTGGCCCACTTACACCCACCGCCTTCCAAATCAACAAATTCTTCAGACAGCTCTCCTTCAGACAGGTGAGAAATGCAGAGTTTCACACCAACACTAAAGACTAAAACTGAATCAATCTTAAAGTCCTAGGAAACACAGTGCAAAATATGAAACAGGCTTGTGTGATACTAAAGTTAAATTACACTGAAATATATGATAATACATATTGTTATATTAGATATCCAGCAAAGTTTGAATGAAATGAGACAGAAATATAAAAAACATGTCTTAAATATTGCTGATCTGACCTATCTGAGAACTGTTAGGGCCTAATAATCTGATGAGCGTGCGTAATTGACAGCTGTCAGTACAACAGTCCTAGACTGCTACATCTTTGAAGCAGAAAGAAATTAGTGAAATGGGCTCTATTTATACAGGTTGTGTTGTAGACTATCCCCACTGTGTCCGCTCACTAAAAACATTACCCAGCTTTTATATGGCAACCTCTTAAAAGAGGAGGATGTTTTTTTCCTTTGAATTTGAATCCAAGGAACATTGGCATGGCCGGATGACCAAGCTTGCTAGGTTAGTTTTTGTTTGTTGTTAGCTTCCTTGCATGAGGTTTATCAATCTTGAACACATAGAGACAGAGATTGTTGGGGAAGATAGTTTTGTTAAAGATATGTTGTTGGGACAAATTACATAAGCCTTGGGATTGAGAAGGATACTGAGTTCGTATCCACTACTCAAGATTAGGACTGGCGAGTTCCCATAATACATTGGAAAATACAAACGACATAAGCCATTTATCGGGCACTGGAGAGTTATTCGCAGGACAAACTTTATACGTGTAGTTTGTGTACCCACAAGATTAACCTACTTAGAACGAAAACACGGATTTAGGTTTCCCGGGGCTTCTGTTTTCTGCTTTCTTCAAAACCACAGCATAAAATTGATAATTTGGGGAAAAATGTCAAATTCCCCCTCGACCCCCACTTCTTTGGTTTAAGCACTGTAATTCCATGGTTAACGTAGCTAAGAAGCAGGGCTGACTTTTATGGTACTGATCAAATCACTTTAATTAGGGATGCAGCGATCCAATGGATTTTTATGGATGATTGTAATTCCTAACAAAATAAAAATAATAAATTTGCCAATTGTGTGTTTGTGCCAACTGTGATGTATGGATTCTGATCTTGGCCAGTTACAATCATGCTTCCCTAATTTCAGTACCATAAAGTCAGTCTTAATGAGCCAATGGGCATGCTTGTTCCAAAATGTGGGCTTGTGACTAGCTGTCAAAGTTACATTCTGTTTGCATAATATTAACCTCATGATTAGTCTGCACTCTGTTACAGTCAGTACATTTAGCCACTTCCAATTAGCTCCAGTGAGGTACTGAAAAGTAAAATTCAGCAATCAGTCTCAATGTCAGATATTAATATCAGTTCAAAAGCTAGCAAGTAATGGAAGCTTATACCCCAACAATTAGCATCATGCAAACTTCATGCCTAAATCATCACACACCTGCCTCAAACTGTGTGGAGTTGTTAAGTAATCTCAAATAAATGTGCTTTTATGCTTTCAAATACAATACTGTTTCTATTATTTCTAACACTAACATACTGTTACCTATAAAAATGGGCAATCTATTTTGTTTTTATCTGCAGTGAGAGACTGTTAAAGCTCCTCCATCACTAGCTATGGAACCCTGCCACCAAGCAACAAGCAGACACCCATATGGATCCTTTTGAACCCCTGTAGTTCATGCAACTACAGCTCCGCTTTTAAATCCATTTTATCCTGCAGCATGCTGTAAACTTTAACTAATCACTACCTAAGTGGCCATTCCACTTTGTTTTTTTTTTAAGTGCGTAAGTGTGATTGTATTTATTGGTATTTATTTCCCGGGTGCTGGTGATGATGTTTTGCTCATTTAACTTGAATGCAGAACTGACCGTAAAGACTACTAATAATGGTATGTGATCCACTGACTGTAAACAGTTTTTGTGACTTTTAAAGAAATATGTATATATGGGATAAATGCAAAATGAGGGCACTGAACACGTTCTGAACCTGATGTAAATATAATATTCAAACCAGTGTTTTCGGATAGGCCACTTCAGGCTATGAAATCTGCTTTTGCTTTATTTGGAACCCTTTCATCTTAAATGGGAATTCTTACAGTGGTGGTGATAGGAACCAGACGTCTACAGTGCAAATATTGCCATTTTATTTACTATTCAGAATAACTGATAAACAGACACATGTCCTCATATGTTTTCTGAGTTTTTATTTTGTAATGTTGGTAATGGTCAGTCGTAAATCTTTTTGGAACTACTCTTCCTAATCCCTGCCTGCATCTCTCCACCATGAATTATTTTTAAAAAATAGTTTAGGTCAACATTATCTCAGAACTATTATAAAACAATGTCTAAGACATCAGGCAGTGTATTTGTAACCATTTTGTGTAACAGCTTTTTGTGACAGAGCTTTTAGAGGCAATAAACTCTTCAGATGTCTGATTTCCCATCACCACCACTGTGAACTATTCTGATGCAGTAAATTCGTCTAGAACAGAGCACAACCAGAAAAAAGCTGGAGTGGTGTCATATCAAACTGAATGAGTTTGATTCTAAATTTAATTATGCAGAAATTTCTGTGTATATTCTTGAGTATTTTACTTTTCCTTTATTCACTCGAGCTGATGTTCTTTTCTCTCAGTTAACGCCACCTGAATGTGATATGTAGATATGTGGCTCTATTGCTGTACAGTAGATCTATTTATTGCACTCATCAAAGCACTGGAAAGTTACTTTTCCTGCAATTCTTGTGCAAGAAACTAAACCAAGCTCTTGTAGAATAGAGACCTTTGGTTCATGTTTTGTTTGAAATGGATTTCAAATTGCTGCAATATTTTGAGTTAGCTGAACAGAACAATAAAAACCATTGCGCTGCTAAAGACTCTATACAGATATGTTGTTTAATAGATTTATTTACTGTAGTCTATAGTATTTACAGACAATACAGCAATTGCAACACTTTGTTAAAAACCCTGTCAGATGAAAAACTTCTGCATAAACATACTGTTACATGAAGTGGTCATCAGAAGTGCTGTCCAGCAGAACTTATGTTGCGCAGTGAAATATCAATATGTTGACATTTAAGAAGCATGAAAATGCCTTAAAGGGTTATACTACAACACAGCAAACTAAACGTGATCAAACTTAACTACATTTACATGTACAGCTGTTAGAAATTCGGCATTGACTGGAGTTTATTTCCACATACAGAGTATGGGTACAGCGTGGTCAATCAACAGTCAGTCAGCAGTATCAGGAGTCTAGTCTTATTCACGTGCATGCAGACAATCATGCACAGGCACAGCTTGGTCATCAGTGTGTCACCAGTCTAGTCTGGTCACCAGTCCATTCTAGTCTAGTCTGGTCAGTAGTCCAGTCTGCAGTCCAGTCTGACAAATACATGGTCTGACATGGTTTAAGTATAGATACTGGGGGTCGGGGGAGGAAGCAAAGAGGGAGGGAAGTAGGTGACAATCAAAAGGTTGGGGAAGAAGGGGAAGGGGGTCTGGGGTCAGAGGAGACCCCAGGGGTAAGGTGAGGTTGTTCTCACCTCAGGGGGAACAATACAGATAAAACACCAAAAGGCACACAACTGTAAGACAATACAGCTGACACAACAAAAAGACGACATAGGTTAGAGCATAGAAGAAAGCAAACGTGAAAAGACCTATACTTTCTCTCACAGCATTTAGTAGACACTCTTATCCAGAGTGTTGTGCTTTGTCTACCTAGAGAAAGTATCTTTGCTAGTTACAAATACGCTTGAGAGAAAGCCAGTCCTGAGCTCAGATATTGCTAGAAACAAAAACCTATGCTGATACCTAGAGAAAAAGAAACAGTTAAACATAGCACAGTGCTATACATTTCAATAAGTGCAGTACAATACATTACAATAAATACTTAACTCAGTGCTCACTTAATTGCTGTAAAAAGAGATGTGTCTGTAGTCTGCGTTTGAAGACAGCGAGAGACTCTGCTGTTCAGACAGCCAGTGGGAGTTCATTCCACCACCTGGGTGCCAGTACAGAGAAATGTCTTGATGCTTGTCTTCTACACATCTTGAAGGATGGCGGGTCAAGCCGAGCTGTACTTGAAGCTCAAAGGGCTCGAGGTACAGGTTGAGTTTTGACCATTGCCATTAGTTAAGGAGGGGCTGGTCCGTTTTTGGCTTTGTAGGCAAACATCAGGGTTCTAAATCTGATGCATGCAGTTACAAGAAGCCAGTGAATGGAGCGCAGCAGTGGAGTGATGTGACTGAACTTAGGAAGACTGAAGACAAGCTGTGCTGCTGCATTCTGGATGAGTTGCAGAAGCTTGATGGCCTGCATAGGAAGACCAGCCAAGAGCAAGTTGCAGTAGTCAAGCCTTGAGATGACAAGAGACTGAACTAGCACCTGAGTGGCCTCTAACTAAGATGAGTAGGGCTGGGAGTCATCCCAAAAAACAGTCAGTTCTTCCATTTCAGGAATTTAGGAATCATAGCTTTGCACTCAATTCTGTGTGGTGATGCTCAGGTTTGCCTGCACAATATCATCAGAATTAGCTCTCCAAACTGCCTTTCTAAGACCTAATAAGTCATATAATTAAACTAACACCCTGTGTCCCAGAAGAACAAATGGAAACAGTGGTACATGACATTATGGGCCCGGTGCAAAAAAAATTACATATAATGGGTGCCCCTTACAAAAAATACTTTCAGTTAATAAGACAGTGTAATTTTTAAATTTGTTTTACTCAGTATTATGTCTCAAACAGTGTAATGCTCTTAATGCATGTCACTCTATTCACTAGCATCTAACCTTAACCTAATTTTTTTATGTTAGACAAGCTATGTAAGAGTTTAATATTGTATTTGTAAAATCAGGGTCGGGTAGTAACAAAATACATATAACAACGTTAATCAGAATACAAAAAAGGTAACTGTAATCCGTTACAGTAAAAATGCAGTAATCAGATTACAAGTACATTATAAAAACAGGGTGATTACCAGCAGGATTACATTTAAATGCAAACTCTTTCACTAAAATTCGACGTTTTAAATATGCCAAACGAGTGGTGTAGATTTCAGGAGTAACTAAGCCCAAATCCTTTTTTCCATTAACAAGTGAAATGCATTGCTCTGTAATAACAAATATCGCTTAAAATTTCAACACATCTTGCCAAACTGTCAGCGTTCCAAAGCCTGTAGACTGCAGCCATAGATATACATACTTAGATGCCGCATTGTCTGTTCCGGAGCCTCGGAGGGGACGCAGGTAAAAAAAAATAATTCATTCGAGCGAACGTTTCGCAGTTCGTACGCACGTTTTCTTTTATTCGTGGTCACGATTTCTTAAATCATACCCTCGTTTTGTTTTAATCGTGCGCATGTTTTCTTTACTTAGTGGGTATGTTTTTTTTAATTCGTGATCACAATTTTCTAATTCGTTCTCTCGTTTTCTTTTAACCGTGGTCATGTTTTATTTTTAACTGAATGCACGTTGTTTGTATTTTGATAACAGCTCCCTGACACTTTTTGATGGGTTTTGATGTTTTAGATCGATGAGATAATGAACAGAGATGCTCATCAGGTTTGATTTTGATTTGGGGGTTATGAGGACACTGCAGCTCCTCTTCACAGCGTTTCAACATCCTCACATTAACATATCTATATAGGTCTATTAAACTCTCTCGCCATTTGACCTCATCCCACATGAATGTTTCTGTGTGTGTTTAATTTGAGTTTGTTGAAACAAATTGACGCTGACCATTTCTTCCTGTAATTGTGTGATTATCTCTAACACTGCAGCTACAGTTTCCTCTTGATGAGCATCATGATGACCTGATGAGCATCTCTGTTCATTATCTTATCAATCTAACTTATCAAAACCCGTCAGACAGTGTCAGGGAGCTGTTAGTTACTTCTGCACAGGACAAATAACACGACCTGTATCTACTACATTGATTTTGCGCACAAATAAAAAAAATAAACAACATGCGTTCAGTTAAAAATGAAACATGACAACGATTAAAAGAAAACGAGAGAACGAATAAAAAATCGTGATCACGAATAAAAAACGTACCCACGAAGTAAAAAAAACGAGGAAACGATTTAAGAAATCGTGACCACGAATAAAAGAAAACGTGCATACGAACTGCAAAACATTTGCTCTAATTAATTATTTTTTTTACCTGCGTCCCCTCCGGGGCTCTGTAGTCTGTTGTGCTCTATTGAAGTGATACGTCTGCGCGTCCACCATGTTAGAGTAGTCAAGATCCGCTTGTGAAAATTCATTTGTACTGAGAGAGATTTGTTTCTAATAATCCTCAGATTAATCTAGGTTGCACAGACTGCTCTTGGTAGCTTTTGTTTCTTTAATAACTCGTGCTAATTAGCCGTCCGGACCAGCAAAAAAAAATCAGTCTGCACCTGACGTTAAAAACCGAGCTTAGCGCAAGCTCCAGTGGAACGTGTGAACCACTTCTAATCTTAATACACATAAAAATAAAATAAACCCCCCAAAACACAGTAGAAGGACGAATAAGTCGGCTTACTATTCGCCAGCTTCTTACTCGAGTTTTCACGTTCCACCTTAAATGGTGCAGCAGTCCTTTAAGGTGTAACTGGAAATTCGAACAAGATGCAGGCCGATGCACCATTTAAGGTGGAACAGGAAAATTCCAACAATAAACTGGCAAATAAGAAGCTGACTTCAGCTTCGTGTAAGAAGGTGCTAACGTTAATCTATTATGAATATCTACACGGATTAAGGAATGCTATAATTTACCTTGCTACAGAGCATTAACCATCGTTGTACATAAATATTACATAAAATTAAGATTCCGTGAACAGACTATTAAATTAAATAAGCTCAATTTAAAACCAGAGGAAAAACAATCACATCAACAGGTTCTTTGTGCATCACCAACCACACGGTCATATATCTACACATAAACATCACACAAACAACACACATCACACAAACATGAGCATGGATCGCTGCGTTCCCTCCGTTATACAATCCTATCCCACTTTCTGAGTCCAATATTCTTAAAATAGTATAATTTTGGACAGTATCTTTCTTAAACTGCCACTCTGTAATAAGAATGCAGCCGAGATAACAGTTTTATAGTGGTTAGTTCCGCTTCTGCAGTGCCCCTCTGGTTCAACTCTGCTATAGACCACTGTAGTCATGCGTCATTCTGTAGTCCTCGTTATGCCCATATTAGGAACTCCAGGTCTACGCTCTATTTCTCTAAGCCAGAATGAATAGGGTTTTCGAAAATATCGCCCCCTGTGTTAAATAAAAATGTTCAGAACCCGATACGTTTTGTCCTGTGTACATTTTTCTCCCGAATACCACTGGATCCTCCGAATTACGAGGTCGTTAAAGAGCTATAATATTAGTATTGCTACATGGGAGCTAAAGCTACTGCGTATCAATTTGATGTCTCTAAGCTACACGAAACTAAGGCGGGCGTTATCGAAATGTTCTACTGTAGCGCATATGTACAGGTATACCCTCTAGGTAGGATATTTTGATAGGCTAAAACTCCTTATCTAAAATACTACCCATGTTAAAACTACGAGGCTGAATTAATCTTCTTTTTTCGCCAGGTTCCTGTTCGAATGCTTCTGTTCCACCTTAAATGGTGCAGCAGCTGTGACTAGCTATCACAAACGTTAGCAAACGAGACAAAATACTGACCTGTCGGTTCTGTCAAACAGCAAAAATAATTTAATATTACTCAGCTGTTAAGCGGAAATAGAGAAACCTCCTCATATCACGCCTTTCAACCCTCCATGAAGCTGAAGTCAGCTTCTTTTTCGCCGGCTGCTTGTTTGAATTTTCCCGAACGGGAAAAGTCGAACAAAAACCTAGCTAATGTCCTGAGAAACTGTCCTC